CGAAATAAAGGGTTCAGTTCGAAATTCCGAAACGTTGTGACAAATATGGCAACAAAGATGAATGTAAATACTGTACAATGAAAGTTAAGTACAATAGATATTTATCAACATCATCCCCCAAGTGTCATCTTACACACAAATACCCTTGGGAAAGGTATGAATCCACCTCTTCTGCTCCCAAATATGGGTTAATTTGTAAGATTTATATCTAAAACGTTATCTAAAAAAAAAAAAAAAATTCTTACAATCTAAAAATATTTTCTGGCTTTAAATAACTTGCAAAGGGTTGATAAGCAATAGAAAACCAGTCAGTCAAGTACTGATTAGCTGCATAGACATGTCTTTTAGATTTATTTACATTCTCGGGAATATAAATATATAAAAAATACCATAACCACAAAGTGAGAGATCAGTTTATATATTGATTGTAATATAGAATTGATACCCCACTTTATATCCACATATCTTCTTTATCGAATTCTGATTAGGTATGATTCCATATCTTCCCCCACTGGGTATGGGTTAATTAGTAAGACTTGTATCATTAAACCATTATCTCAAAAAAAAAAAAGGTTGATAAGTCATAAATAAACAAATCAATCAACCAAACTCCCAAGTGTTCCAAGAAGTCAAGCTAAAGATAAATGTTTTCAAAATACAAAGAATGATCTGGAATTGGAATGAAAGCAATCATGGTGCATACTCTGAATTGCTCATAAAAATCCAGAATGTGGAATGAATAAATTCTAATGACTTTAAATGCCTCGGTGTATGGATCAGTTATACCAAATTTAGTATAGGAAACTGAACATAGAATAGGCAGCACAAGCAATAGTTTCATCCAACACCACTAATCTTCTTCAGTAATGAATGGCCATTAAAGTTCTTTTGATTTTGTTTTCTTCTTCAGATGTCTTGAAAATAAGAGATCTACTTTCTAAGTTGAATATCGTGCGAGTTGCTGATGCTTCTGATGAAAAGCTACCTACCTGTACATCTCAAAATAAAATCTTTCTTCATGAGAAATACGCATTGGAAAACCAGCAATTCATGGAGGAGATGAAGGCTTTTACAGAGATTTATGGGAATGCTTTCAAACAGGAAGATTTCCACTGTCCAGGTTTCTCTGAGCCCCTGTCAAATGCAGATATCATCATGTGCACTTGCTCAACTAGTTGTCGATCAGTCATTCGATCAGTGTCTTCTATCAAACAGGTGAGAGATTTTTTACTTCTGTTTTAAGCACGAGGTGGTGTTAGTCCTATTATATACCGATTTAGTGGAACCAGTTTCTTCATCTTTGTTAATTGCAGTCTTTCACTTACTTTTTTTTTTTTTTTTTTCTTTTTACACTATTATTCACCCAATACAAGGCAAAAGAGCCACTCAATGTAGAGGGACATTAAATGAGGTTGTTGTAAGGACATACAGAGATGGAGCAAGAGGTGCATATTATGAGGCTAGGTAAGACTGACTCAGAGCTTGAAGAGGTTAATATTGCAGTGATCCGAGGAGTAATATCAGGGGAGTCTGTCCCACAATGCAACAGTTCTGGGGAAGAAGCTCTGAGTGGAACTTACTCGTCACTAATGGTATAATGAGGAGTTGTTGACTCAGTGTAGATGGCATGGTTAGTCTAACGTGTGAAGTTCTGAACTGGCAGAACCAAGGAAAGTAGTTTGCTGAAATATTTGCCATGAAAATTGTAGCAAAGTAGAGAGAGGCTAGCACCATTTCATCTGTGGGGAAAGGTGTTGTCGGCTGGAAAACAATTCATCACCCACAAGATTGCAAAGTGGGGACTAGGCAGCTCCTGGCCAGATGAAGCGGCAAGACTCCATTTTTAGTCTGATCTGGCTCTTGTAAAGATTGAACATGGCAGGAGGAGTCAGGTACTTTCTAGTGGGATACAGGGAGCAGGCCATTTCTCCCAGTGTCATTAGTGATGGATTGTATATACGAGTTTCAGTCAAGGTCTGGTGTGAGCTTGAGTTCCAATAGATGTTCCAAGTAAGGACCCTTATTGAGAGAGGTTATTTTTCTCACTCCAACCTCTCTCTCTCTCTCACAGATGGGATGTGGCAAGACTCTCACTGCTCTGTCACTAATACCATGGAAAGTGCTTGAACAACCTACATCTTCTGGTTCATGTTTAGGACCCAGCATGCCACTTAGCAAACTATCTACAATCTCTCTGTATTCCATTAGCAAGAACTTAGTTTCACTCAAACAGCTTCTTCCTGTGAACTACTGCCCTATGGAACGGACTCCCAAGAGGATGTTTCCCCAATCACTACAATCTTAACCTGTTCAAGTCTAGAGTCAACTGTTATTTTCCCCCTCCTATCCATATAAACTACTCCTTATCATAACCCTATGCCTTGATTGGCCCCTGGGCCTTATACAGGGGTGAATCTTATTGTAAAAAAGTACCACCATTTGTCAGGCTGGAGAAAACTTAGGGTCTGGTCTTTGTAGATGAAATGTTACTAGCTTGGTTTTGGAAGTACTAAATGCTATAAGTTTCTCCTCCACCAAGTTGTGTGAGTAAGGTCAGCCGCCAGGGTTCTTATCCTCTGCTGGTTGAGGGTCTAAGTGAATCAGTGTCTTATGGGTGAGATGTTGAGCAGTGGGCAATAACCATAAACATTTTTCAGTGCTGTGAATGTTGGCCTTGTGCCATACCATAATAAAGGACAACTCTGAGAGGAAGTCTTTTCAGAAGTCAAATGTGATACTTATAGAAAAGTAAATATTTTGATGGTCCCTAGAAATGTCATAAAAGGCGAACATTTCTTTCCAAATATTAATTTCTAATAAATGCATAAAAAGAAACTGATTTTGTACTGGGCTAAATAAGGAACATGAATGAAGTAACATTGAATAAATAGAGGAAAGATTCTTAAATGCCATCAAATACACTATATATATATATATATATATATATATATATATATATATATAGAGAGAGAGAGAGAGAGAGATAAACACATTTCCACCTGTTCCAATATTAGAATGTACTTGCACACACAGGTTAAAAACTAGAATTTCATAAATTTGTAATAAATTCCTGAAAAAAAAAAAAAAAAAGGAATATATATATATAAAATTTAAGTTTTCAGCTCTTGTTTTGAAACATGAAAACTCTTATGTAGTGATGGAATCATATTTTTAAATAAATAATTATATTTAGGCTCTACTTTTGTATTGAGCACTGTTTTTTAAAAATAATAACAAAAATGCTAAAGAACTTTGGATTATTTACCTAACGAGTTCTTTCCTATTTTCAAACACACACACACACACACATATTACAATTCAAAATACGTTTTGGCTTTAAATAACCACAAAAAGTTGATAAGCCATCAAAAGCAAATCAATCTGGCCTTCAACCAAAGTAACATCACAGTACCTGTTAATGCTCATAACCTTGACAATGTTATAATGATTAAATGGGGGTTTTTTCTGTTTTGTAAGCCACTTTGAAATTCTCCAAACTATTCTAAAGTTAATTTATTCATTTCATTTCCAGATGATTATCTTCAATGCCCATCTGTGTTCTGAAGTGCTGGCTATGATACCAATTTCTTACTACAATATTGAGAAACTCAGTCTTTTTTGTAGTTCCGAAGCATCCACAGAGACTTCCATTGTACACAGAGTGCTCCAATCTTGTCCCCAGACTAAAGTGCACTTTAAATGAAGAATAAAAATTTTATGTCTAAAGCAGGCTATATAAAATGGATTGAAGATACTCTTCTTATAAAAGAAAGAAATATGTCCCTTCCAAAAGGGGGCAAAGCAGTTTGGACAAGAGGCTTGCTAATAACAAATACATTACAAGAACCATCAACAAAGGCTGTTAAGAGACTACCAACTGCAACTCTTCATAGACCAGCTGTTGTCTAATTTGCAGTCAAATAAAACAAATATTATTTGATTCTGCCTTGTCAACCAAAATTCTCACTTACCTGATCTCTTTTCCATCACCCTCGGCTCTTTCCTGGCAGCCGACAATTACAATGTTCAAATTTAGAACCAAAATAATTACAATTACTTTAATTGTTATTTTATGCCTCCCCATTTATACAAATATATTCAACTTGGTTGCTCACAATGTTTCAGCTGTTGTATCATTTGTCCTTCTTCAGAATCTTGAACTGAACATTTATTCACATCTTCTCATTCTGCTTTCCATGTGACTTCAGTTGTGTCAAGGGTGAGACCAGTTGCCCACTAAAAGTGTTGGAGGGAAAATAGTTGTCATCATCCCCTGTGAAAGACACTGGAGGATAAGAGTCTACACACAAAGCATATTAGGCACCGTTAACCACATCAGTAGACTTAGCATAGTGATGAGTAACCATCTAGAAACCCTGATTAAGAAAAACACTAAACTAAAGATCTTTCAGCGCTTGAGTACAGACCTTAAATTTAAGACTTCAAAATTACACCACATGGTCTGGTGGATTAAAAGCATTGGTTAAATTCTAACCGGTTCTGTGGCAGTTGAAAGTTCAATCCATGGGTTTACCAGTGCTGAAAAAACTACATACTCCAATTCAATAGAAGAAACAATCAAGCAGCGCAAAAGGTGAATAGGATAAGTAAGCAACTGATACAAGATCAATTGTTCTTTTCATGATTAAGGTCTAACACACGAGATTGAATAAAGAGTTCACTTCAGAAAAGGTTATCAAGTACCATGACCAAATGACCCAGGAGCATATAAACTTCTCAAAAATTCCAAACCTGATTTAATTTTATTATAGATACTTATAATTTGGGATAGGTGCGGTTGTAAAAATAAGTAAATGAAACTGATCTGTCATTTTTAAAATAAAAAAATAAAGAAATTGTTTTCATTTTTGGATTTTTTTCTTTTTTTTATTGAACACCTAAAAACAAAAGAAAAAAAAATGGCTGGGGAGGAAAGTAAAAAAAAAAAAAATTTATTTACATAGATATTTACAAGAACAAGTGTGGCTCAGCCAATCAAATTATGCCACCTGGCCATGTCGTTGTAACAAGATAACAAGTCCAAGCAGAATGGCTAAAAATGTGATCACATACAAGTCCCAATCAGGACCCAAGTAAAATCGAGGATCCAATTTTTTTATTAAATCTCTGTAGAACTCCATCTGTAATGAAAAAAAGAATTTATATCAAGTTTTAAAAGCAAAGAGAAACGATTACAAGATAATCTTGAAATCATTTCTGTTAAAAGATTCAGTAGAAAACTTGACCTTATTTACACTATTTATATTCAGACTATTGTCTTCATCTTTGTTATCAAGTTTCGGACTTCATCAGGTGTATGTCAATCTAGGTAACCTACAGGGAATTCCTAACTGAACCCTTTATTTAATCTATGTGGTAGACTGTTCTCATACTGCTATTCATGTCTTGGAATATCATCTAGTTCTTATTTTATTTAGGCGAGCAATAATCGAACAATATTATTTCCACTGAGTTCAAGTACACACTGCCTGACCCAGGAATTGAACTCATGACCACTATGTCACCAAATTCACATTTGTATTTGCAGTGTGTTTTTGCTCTCACTGGAAATAGGCAAACAATAACTGAACAATACTAAATAAGAACTAGATGATATATCCCTAGACAGGGGCAGTGGAATGTGAACAATCTACCCTCATAGATTAAATAAAGGGTTCAGTTCAGAATTCACCATAAGTTACCAAGATTGATATACACCTGAGGAAGGCCAGACAGCACACGACAAAAATTGTGATTAAAATAACAAAGATGAGGAGAATATAAATAATGAGAACTGAGAAGTAAATTTAAGTTTCTTTTGGTTTTTTGTAATCAGGAACTGAAGAGAGTTTTTGTTTTAACTCAGTCTTTGTCAAAAGTTTAAGACCACTTGGCAAAAATGAACATTTCTCTATTGTAGAATATTGAGTCATTCACTTTTAAATGTTAATGAACTACATCAGGTTCAAATTAGCTTTTCTGAAAGGTGTGGATTTCTTCTAAAGAATACTTTTGGGGTTTAATGCGTTAAAAAAAGGGGGGTCACTTTCCAACATTCAAAGGGCCCAAATAGTAAAATTACACAGAAAGGAGGACTTGGAGCATGAAATCTCTATCCAAATTGGTTGTTGTAAGATTGCTATATGCCAATTATCAAGCCGAGAGCTCTTCTTCTGACCAAAAGAAAAGTGGATATCCCAAAGAAATCGCCCAAGTGATAATTGTAGCATCAAAATCCATCATTTTGCAATTTCCAACAAGTTTCTGCAAAAATGTTAAAGTTGCTCTGCTTCTCAGTGGTTCAGATAGAAGTCGTCGGGTTGTTTCTCACAGATTGGGCAATGAATTTCAACTAAGATCCTCCATAGATGCCCAAATAAAATGAAACAAAAAAAGAAGCAACTGACTCGCATCAAAAAGGCAAACAAACATTAGACAGAGGAACAATGGGAGCAGACTATCAAGGATACCTGAACCGCTGGGATTTCAGCAGAATATTGTCAGTATCATAGGGAAGAATTTATCAATGCAAAAGATGGCTACATAAAAGATTGGGCTGGGATACAAAATTTTATTTGAGCAATAAAAGCAGACATGTTAAGACATTCATAACCATAAAATGGTAACACTGAAATATAAAAACAACAAAGATGAGGACAATAGTCCAAATATAAATAAATAGTGTAAATAATGATGACTCCTCATCCCAGAAATTCAGACAGAGATTTAAACTGAATGTTTCTGTGGTTGTATATATTTTTTTTTTAAGTTGCTGTCCACTTTTTCGTTCTCAATTTTTGCTGAGGAGAACGACCAATAAATTGGTTTAGCTGTTGTTTTTGTATTTTTTAATTGTAATATTTCCGTGTCACCATTTTACTATAAAATATACTACCTCTGTTCCACAATAAGTGGTCAAAATGTACTATTTTTTAAAACATGGAATTGGTCACTTATTGTGGAATGGAATTATTTTCTGGTATGAATTGCTAATAAAATACTATTTTATATTGAAGTTAATAGAAAATAAAATGCTTTCAATAAATTTGATGTGTTGAAGTGAGAACCGTGTTGGTTCCAATTCAGAGGAATGAATGCTCAAAACACCTCCTCCCCAAATTTATAGACAAGTCCTACAGATGCATGCTGGGATATCTTCCTAGTCTTGAAGTTGGAATGCTACAATTACTTGACTGTATCTCTTTTGTGTATGAATACCATTCTTACTTTGTGAACTTTTTACTGTTGCTTAGTATAATTTTGTCCTGTTCTTTTACTTATTGTTTATTGGAAAGTTTGTCAATTCTGTTTGTTGACCATTTTTGTCAATTACATTTAACCAGGGCCAATTATTCCTGATACTGCATTTTATTATTCATGCTATCAAGTTTTTTGTAAAAAAAATGTTGGGTGATCCTAAACTTTTGACGACAACTGTTGAGATTGCAAGCATCAGCCAGAATGCTCTTTGCAGAGTATGTAATCTGCGTATTCCAGACACCAAACTTTCAAAACAATTGGAATAAAACACGTTAACTATGACAATTTCAACAGAAAAAGGCAAATTTCAATTCTGATCTCAAATATTTGCTTCAATTCCTTAGTCACATGACCTGGGGAGATTTCTATGAAATATCAGGCAATCATTGATTGCTTTCCATTCTTTATCAACTGCCAGATTAAAATGTTTCTCATTCTCAAATGGTTATTACATCATTTCAAAGATAATAAAAAATGATACAGTAGGTTCCCCCACATGCACATAGCAATGGACAATAAATCATTTTATCAGAATCTGAAGTATCTGGTGTTTTTATGACCAGCAGTAAAGTTTACAAAATCTGTAATGCAGCTAGCTACCTACCTACCACCCAAATGGAAATAAATAAAAACTATCTTCTGGTTAAATGGTACAGGTTCCCAAGAGTTCTGCTTGCAGGATTATATAAGCATATTTACTACTGTAATGATTCCTTTAAAGTTTCAATCAATCAAAATGAATATCATAAAGACAGAGAAGTTATGATGAGACAAATTGGAGTTGAAATTAAAACGTTTAAAATCTTACTAATACTGAAGAGCTAAAAGTTCCAAAATGACAGCAAAACAAAACTTTTACTTGCCACTGTGGGGGGGGGTATATTTAAGGGTCTTTCTGAGCCTGAGGTAAAACAGTTACATAATTTGCCAGCATTTACTTCTGTTGATACACACAGGGAACTAGCCATCATTTGAACCCAAAATGATTTTTTCCAGGTTTAAAGTGTCTGTAGACTTTATTGCTAGTCATAAAAACACCAAGCAGCTACCCACTAATGAAAAAATGCAATAAAATAAATAGACAAATAAAAAAAACAAAAAACCTTTTTCTGATACCACCTATTGGTTGCCCCTCAAGAGAGTTTATGGCCACCTGTTGTGTGCTGTGATATACAGAGATGGGAAGAGGATTGGTAGGAGAGCCAGTGTCCTTGCTGACCAAAGGGAAGATATCATCTGTGAGCCTGTCATCACAAAAGTAGTAAATGAAGTTGTCCCAAGTGTCACCTAATCACCCAGATAGTGTAACTGAATCCCTGAATAAACAACCAAATATATTGCGAACAGGATTCATGTTTTTCATTTCATGCTGTGGGGCTATTTTCACCTTTTATTTGGTTGGGAACATACACTGAACTTTTACCAGTTTCTGTGCACACCAGAACTATCAAGAATCAAGCCGACATGGGGTGATTTGTCCAGTCGGTAAAAGTTTGATAAAATTGTTCAGTTTACTTTTGTAGTAACAAAGTGACAACCTCGTTTGAAGTTTTATTTGTGCATGAAACTTTCATGCACAAATAAAACTTCAATTTCAAGCTTATTCAAGTCCACAGTCTAACTTCAGAATTGCCAGACATGAACTGATGCAGTGTCAACAGGACACAAATGCATCAGCACATGCATTTTTGACAAGACAACAACATGACTAAGCTGCCTGAATATCTACTCATAATGAAGGAAATTATCTTGGTAGAACTCTCCATATTTGGGGGGGGGTAACCTTGCAGCAATCCAAAAAGTCTTTACTCAACGATGTGAATTGACAATCACAACAGTATTATGCATGGCAAAGACAGAAGAGGCTACCCTGAGACAAATGAAGATAATCCATAATCTAGAAGAGAAATCCACTGCACACACGATACAAGCAGACATACACTAAGTCAGGAAAGGCCAGCCATGTAAATACAGTGGCACTCACCACCCACTGCAGCTGCCCAGTATATGGCAGCGAATGCAAAAAATGTGGAAAGATAAACTACTAGGAAAGTGAATACCAGCAAAATACCAAACAACAGTAATACAGCACAGAAAACCAAGGGCGTAGCACATTTAAATACACATGCAATCGACCAGTCTAACCACAACTCCAGCACTGGTAGGCCCCACAGTCATTCCATGAATGAGCTGACTATTCAAATCACTGACCTTGAAGTCAACCTCAATAACAATTAACATTCAAAGAGGTCTGCAACACTGCCAGCAAAACAGACACCAAGGATGAAATCTTTACCAAAATTGGGGAATAGCAGATCACAAGTAGCAACATTCCTAAAAGCCAAAGTCAATACGGGAGTACAGGGTAACCTACTACCCCTATGCATCTTTCAGCATATGTTTCCTAGGAATGTTGGTGATTACAGCACCTCATTACCACATACCAACAAGCACTGCAGAACAAACCTAAGAACATACAATAGTACCAAGATGACATCATCACATTCCCATGCAGCTTCGATGGAAACAACTGCTCCACTGACTTCTTCATAACAAGCTCAGAGGTCACGGCAATTATAAGTCCTATCCACATCATGCCAAATTGAGCTAGTTACACTCAACTGTGAAGTCAGGACACAAACAGACACCACAAAGGTAGACCACAAAGATGACTTAATATCAAGATATCCATTTGAAGGTAACAGATTTTCCATTTTGGAAAACCCATTACCTTCATCGCAAAATCACTGAGCAAAACCAAACAATGATATGCAAACATTGAAAGAGAAATGCTTGTGGTGGTGTTCAGTTGCAAACAATTCCACATATACTTATAAGGCAAAAAGTTTGTAGTGTAGTCAAACCACAAACCCCTGGGAATGATCCACCTAAAATACCTTTCCACAGCAACCCAGTGACTTCAGAATACAACATTATGATATGAAGATAAAATGCAGGCCTGGAAACATGATGCATGTCACAGACACACTCTGGAGATCACCCAGTAAATACTCTGAAACAATTAATCTGGGTGTCAGAGTAGACATGGCACAATTTCAGCCAGCAAACTCCAACAAATAATGGAAGAAAGAAAGAAAGAAAGAAAGAAAGAAAGAAAGAAAAACACTGCAAACTCCAACAAATAATGGAAGAAAGAAAGAAAGAAAGAAAAACACTGCAAAACCTAAGACAGACCATCCTAGACAGATGGCCTGAACGACCAAAACAATTGTGTCCTTACTAGGCAGACAGAGATGAACTATCAGTTGTGGACAGCTTGCAATTAAAAGGCAATTGCATTACCATATCCACTATTATAAAGAAAGAAATCCTCACAAAATTTAATGAGGTTCACCAAGGAAACAAAAAAAAAAACCAAAAAAACAACAGAGCCAAAACCTGTATGGTGTTGGTGAAGACAGAGAAGTTCACCAGATCATGCCACATCTGCCAGGAATTCCAAAGATGCCAATAAATCAAACTACTACTACAACAAAAATCTATGGCTCCAGATGCCTAGCTACCATCAAAACCATGAAAACAATATTTGCAGAAAAAGGAATACCAGAAAAACTGGTGAATGACAATGGTGCACACTTTTCAACATTGTCATTCCAGGAGTTTACCAAACTGTGTCTTCGAGAAACAAATCCAAACCATGAAAATAACGCAACAAAAGGCAAAACTTGCCAACATTGACCTACATATGGCCAATCGACTGACACCTACCATCACCATCAGAGCTCCTCAACTCAAAGAAGATGAATTCCAACCTATCAGTAAAAATAAGGGACAGTGACCCAGACAGAGACACTGTCAGACAACAGCTGGTGGATTGACAGCATTAGCAACTGCATTTTGACAATAAAGCTGAAAGAGAACTTGCCCCCTACTCCAACCAATCTGTATGGGCCAGAGAGCAACAGACAGGCAGATGGAAGAAGGCAATGGTGCTAAAATCGATACCTGAACCTAGATTTTACATGATAAGAACTCTAGATGGTTCAGAACTTCAACACAACTGAGACGAACTATAAGAAATATCAGATGCCATCTCAAGCACAACACCACCTCTGGCAGCAGTGGGAAATGTACCACCCAACAGTGGCAAAAGGTGCATATAAGTGACCACCTAACCCAACAACAGGTTCTGGATCAGCCACCACAAAGGTGCAACAAGCTCAGCATCTCAGAGACTACACACCCGCAAGACTATTAAAATCTCACCCCACTCTCTACATCTTAAGGGAACAAGAGAGATGTAACTGGGACTACTTGTTGTGTTACCTCCCCTAGTGGAAGTGAATGTAAAAAGTCCCAGTTAATTAAAAATGTCTTCTTATATACACCTCATGTCTTATCTCTACCATACACAAGCCAAACTATTCTAATCAATACAGATGCATACTGCCTGCTATCACATTATCCATTGCACTACCTACGCATCCAGTCTTACAGCAGCTGGTATTCCCAAGCAGTCACCCATCTAAGTACTATATTTGGCCCAGCATGACCCTTTCTTCTGAATAGATCACACTGACCCTGGCACACCCTACTGTTTATATTGCAATAAAAGAGCACACCCAAAAAAGAATTTTGACAGTGTCTCAAATTCAAGCTCCCCATCTATCACCAAAAAATTGCAGACACATGGGACCTTTCATATTGAAATCTTCTAGTCTACTTTTGGAGTTAAAGTTGTATTTGTCAAAAAAGAAAAGAGAGATTGAGAGAGAGATTGAGAGAGATTGAGAGAGAGAGAGATTGAGAGAGAGATTGAGAGAGAGAGAGAGATTGAGAGAGAGAGATTGAGAGAGAGAGAGAGAGAGAGAGAGAGAGAGACTCTTTAAGACACTTAGTAGCCATAGTTAATTTTTAAACAGAACTTTACATGTTATCACATTAGAATCCAGAAAAGATTGGCTTACCTCTTTGCTAAATACATCAAAGCCATAAAAGAGCCCCAATTTAAAGAGAGCCATGGCAACTGGCACCTGGGCATCTGCACTTGTCTCAGCTGCCATGTCATAGAACCGCTTAGCAAGATGGACGTCCTGTTAAGAACAAGGAAAATTTCAAGACTTTCTTTAAAATTCCACTCACAGTTTAATTCCACACAAGAGCATTTTTTATTATCACTGCTGAAGACTTGTAATTGGGATTAGATTTTTTTTCTTTTTCTTTTCTTTTCACAGACTTCATGACACATTTAATCTGAAATGTCCACTTTACAATATTCAATCTATGAGATTATTACATTTACAAGGGAGAGAGAGAGATCATGTTGCAAATTCTTCCCAAACCCAAACCATGAGGCTGTATATATATATATATATATATGGTTGGATTGATGTGAGTTTGTGACCCTGGGTTTCACGCTTTTGCGATCGTCAGACAAATACAATACTAATTTGGCATTAGTCAGAGACTCTACCCCTAAGCTATCAATACACACATACTTGTTGAAGAATGTAATATCAAGCAAGTGGAGCTACTCTTGCACCTCTGCAAAAACTACATCAACTAGATGGACAACTTAGCAGAGAAATGCAGTTTAAGGGGCCCAAACAGATAAGAATCTGAACCAGTTAAGTCCAAGTGATACAATGGATGCAGTAAATCATTCTTACCATGTTGCTGGCGTCACCAATGTATACATATGAAATCAATTTACAGTTAAATTGGCTAGATGCAACCATAAGTTCTCTTCTGCCAAGTTTCATCTTCAAAAATTAAAATGCAATGTATGTCAATAATTATCTACTGTCCTTTTGATTACTCTTTTTTTTTTTTATTCTTTCACATTTAGTAACCTCTTGTGTCTGAGTGGCTTTACTGCCTTGCATGGGGTGAAATAATTAAAAAAAAAAAAAAAAAATAATAATTAAATGTTTAATTAAATTTCACAGAACTGATTTACAATCAAGCCTTATAAAGAGAGGATATAATTCCTGAAAGCTTTACATATTTTATCATTGTTTATCAAGCATTCAGTGAACACCAGCCTAATGGATGCAGTGTTGCAACATTAGTAATTTTTTCTAAACATTTATCTTTCATAAATTATATTACTGGTTATCTTTCCCTTTCAATTATAAAAATGATAGAAAATTCAAAGCAGAAAAAGTTTTTGCATGATGTATTTCATCCTTTTCAGACTAAGTTTATGTTGGTGTAACTTCACATGTGCATGAATGAGAGATGCTGGGAATTTTAAAATCTTTTTTTATGTGTTTTGGGTATATAATCTAGCTGATATCTCTAGATAATTCACAATAAATTTGAATCCAGATTCTTACAATGTTTCACCATTCTTGGCAAATCTATTACCACAAGGTGAGACGTTTAATAACAAAAGTGATGGAAACAAAAACAAAAAGAATCGAAATAAAATTGGCTAGATTATATATTCCAAAACACACATATTATAATAATAATAATAATTTTTGTTTTAAAGCATTTCACCCCAAGCAAGGGAGGAGTGCCACTAGCATGCAAGGGGGTTACAGAGGATTGAGAACAAGAGTAAAGAGGCAGGTTTGGGGAAAGGATACAGAGAAGGATGGGGGAACAAGCTTAGGGTATCAGATGTCAATTGACATTATACTTGAATATCTGAAGATTATAGTCAGTGGAGAAGCAAGTAAGGAGAAGAGAGTTCCACAGACGGGAAGTGCGGGAGAAGAAGCGGTTTGATTAGAAGAGACGGTTACATTTAACCATTAAAATAATAATAAAAAATTATTTTTAAATTTAAGTATGTGTAGTCACATCAACATAAACTTAGGCTGATGAAATGGTAAAGGACAAAATGCATCACAAGAAATTTTTCCACTTTGTTATACTTCTTTCCCCTAAAATTGTTCTTGATATATAAAAAATTTATATATTATTATCTTGTATGTGTGTGATAACTGGCAAGACCTAGGAAACTTCAGGTAACTAGTTTCTATAGCAAAGATTTATATTTTATCAAAATAGTAATCATAAAATAGGTTAATCATCAACATCATTATTATTATAATGCGTGATCTAAGTAATCCCTAACCTCCCATCTCACACACAAAAATAAGCAACCTCTAAAGATTGATAAAAATTGTAATCGTGAAATTAATCGTTTCCATACAGAAAAGGTTTTGTTATTCTTGATTGAAATTTATAAAGCATTTTTTTCTTAACATAGTTTTTCAGGAAAACAGGCCCTGAAATTCACTGTTAATTGCTCTTTCCTTTCTCTTTGTATTTTAGTTGAGTGGAGTTCTATTTTAGTTGTTGCTGCTGAAAGTCCTTAAGTGATTCGGATTTTGTTATGTTGTCGCACCCCAGTCTATAAAATCTGATGAAGGGTGGTCTTTTTTAAGATCTAAAATGAAAAGAAGAAATTGACATCTTTAAAAATTTAGCAAAGAAAGTCTCTTACCTGTTTCATGCCAAGTCCCTTTTCATGCATATAACCAAGGTTGAACATGGCCTGTGCATTGTGGTGTTGCTCAGATGCCACCCGGTAATGATTTGCAGCCACCTCATAATCCACACTTGTCCCAAAACCGTAGTAATGGTAATCTCCCATCTTTACTCTAGCAATTGTTGAACCTAGCAGACAGACAATAGAAATTTATTTTTTATAACCATTTTTTTTATTTCTGATCAACCTATACAGTAGATAGACAGGAAGTAATTATGCAATAATAATCAAGATTAATAATCAATAATGTTAATGTAATCCACAATAATCAATTGCGACAAGCCATTTGGCAAAAAGTAAAAAAAATTTTAAAAAAACAAAAAAAAGGTGATGCAATTTCAGGTTTCAATATGAAAAACAAAAAATTTAATCTTTAAACCAAGTGTAATAATACTGCTAATAATCTAAGTAAAATGTTAGCCTTTGAATGTTCTAGGAATATAAAATAAAAATGTATGTAATGCTTTGTGTTATGGCTTAATATTGCTAGAGTCGAACATATTGATAGCTACTTATGTTTACCAAATGTATAAATTGAGGAATCTAGTTAAAGAGCCTTGAATTTTGGTGTTATATTTTGTGCAGAGCCTTACTCTGGAATGAGAGCTGGGCAAGTTATTCATTGCAACACATAGGAAACCGAAGTTATAATTGGAAGAAACTGAAGTTACTTGTGATCTGGTGCAATCCAAGAACAGCAACAAAAAAAAAAAAAAAAAAAAAAAAAATCTATTAGCCAGGATTGTGTCGATATAATACAAGGGGGAGAAAGGGGAAAGAAAAAAGGATACAAAATTGTGCTGTATAAGTTTTAAAGTTTTCCATTTTATTTTATTAATTTATTTATTTTCTAATTTTCTCCCTCTTGTGTTAAGTTGACCTAATATTTATTTATTTTCTAATTTTCTCCCTCTTGTGTTAAGTTGCCGTAATCATGATTGAGGTTCTCACTGGGTTAACCATCAGTTCCTTTTTGTTGATCCCAGATAAGACATAACTTTTGATTAAGGGGGATAAAATAAAAGAGGGGCGAGAAAGAGGAATGAATAAAAGGGGCATGAGAAGAAGAGAAAAAGGATAGAATTAACAATTTACCTTGAGCAGCTGCCCTAGTCCATTGTAACAATGCCCGCTGATAGGTCTCTTGTTTAATGAACATCATACTCTCACCTTTATCAAAAAGATTAAAAAAAAAAAAAAGAAGTTCACTCAGTGCATTAATACTAAAGTTTAGAAAGAACAACCTGTTATTTTAAAATATTATCTCTGTTGAGCTGACCCAATTTTTTACATTGTAAATAATAATAATAATAAGTAATTTCCCACAATTGCTGTAATTACAATTCTAGTTTTTTTCTTAAATATTCCTTTCCCTACTTATTTATATTTGCATGTTAGGTAACAATCTATGTTATATGGTAATGGTGAAATTAGCTATTTTCTTACATGGAAATGAGCATTCATTGATTAAACAATGCTATTTTTGGTTAGAATTTAAATCTTTTTCTTAAAACAGTTTTCCAGGAAATTAGACTTTAAAAGTCCACTAATTGTTATAGCACTTTCTAGTATTGATGAAAGTTTCCTTCCAAACCTTTTAGTTTTGGCAGTGTGGAAAGTCAACATCGTTATTCTCTTTTCAAGTTACATGTGCTGTCCATTTTTATTGTTGCTGCTGTTGGAAGTTTTTATTATTTGGTAAAGCTCTTTGTGGTTCTCTAGTGCCAGTCTACAGGATCTAATGAAGGATTATGTTCTTTAAGACCAAAAGGATTCGTTTGCTTGAAGCCATTTTTAATCATTCATATAGTGTGAAATAGAAAAGGTTAGCTCAAATACTAATTATAGATAGTTAATTGATAGTAAATGAACAAAAACTATGAAATCCTATAGTTATGAGGGGGTGCTGAAAAGTTTGTTCATTTTTCTTTGATCATTTAGATTTTGAGATGTGGATCAGGCCAAAAACTTTTCAGCACCAACTCTGAGATATTTCTAATGAAGGTGTATTTTTGAAATCTCAGTAGTAAAAAAATTCTAAGAGTCATTTGTTATGTATTTCTATAGAAGGAAAAGTGCTAAATTAAACAAAAACTGTAAAAGAAGATTATAAATGATCTAAAAATGACAGTTACATAACATTATTGACTTATTGAATAAAATTATAAAATACATACAATTGAAAAGATAATGAAACAATGGATTTGTTTCATTTAAATCCAAGTTTTTCAAGAATATAAGCAGAACAATAGATAAGATACAAACAAATTTTAACAGAAGAATTTTATATGTCTTTCCAGTTGGACTAGCATATTTGTCCTGGCTTTTTATATTCATAAAATTTTAGCTGCCGTCCACTCTGGCCTTTACAGGTGTCTTCAATTTTTTATTTTCAATAACCTTTGTGAAATTTTGAACCAAACTCTTTATTAAATCCACAAGTGTAAATTGTTCTCATTCTACTTTCTTAGGGGATATCTCATACAATAATATTCTCCAGTCTATTTGAGGCTTGCAGCCATTTAGTGTTGAAACAATGGTTCTCGTATGATCCCTATAGTTAAGCAACATTGAACCTGGTTAGTACCTAAATGAGTGTCCACTTGGGAATACCAGGTAAGCTTGGTTGTGCAGCAGATAACAGCTTAGAATTGGGAGAGCAGTGTTCCAATTCCAGTCAGGTTTGTTATAGTCACTTACAAGCAAATATTCTTGGAAAAGGTATAAATCTATCTCTTCTTCCCACCACTAGGGTTAATTAGTAAGACTTTTATCAGTCATCACTATCTCCCAAAAAATTTTTTTACACTCTAAAATTATTTTCTGGCTTTAAATAACCTACAACTGGTTGATAAGCCATAAAAACAAATCAATCAAATATCCAGTCTATTCACCTCTGCGTTACTTGTGCATTTCTTCCGCTGAACCAGAGTATGAATTTACCATGCTACCTAATCCAGGGATTGAACTCACAACTACCAGAGCACAAGTTTTTACTAATGCTTTAATCCACTAGACCACAAGTCTCTTGGACAACCCAGTGGTGCAATTTGGGAACCCTAAACTTAAATTTCTGTAGTTGTGCAAAGGGGACCATATGAGTCTCATCTTAATCAGTCTCCCAGGTTATCTTTATCTCTATGTTAGATCTACTGAGGATTTTTTCTTTCTTTAAAGCTTAATATATACTGTATTCATTATGACTTCATTTCAAAAATGGTTCTTTTTCAAGACTGGCTTTCTTTGGGTGAGATTGCTTTTGAACTGCTTGATAAGCCTCTAAGCCGCCATCAGAATAGAGCAAATCAAGAGAGAAAATGTTTTAATTCCAAAACCACTTTTACTAAAGTATGGAGCTGATATGAAAATGAAAAAAATAAACATGACAATACCCCTAGGCATAAGCAGTGGAATGAGATCAGTCTATCCCCATAGATTAAATAAATGGTTCAGTTCAGAATTCCCTGTCGATAAATACCCCCAAGGAAGGCCAGAGGGCACAATGCCCAAAATATTGTGATATAAACAACAAAGATGAGGACAATAGTCTGAATATAAATAGTGTAAATAATGATAATTCCTCATCCCAAAAATTCAGACAAAAATAATCATGGTTTTAAGATATTTTAAAGAAACCCTGTACAACAAATTCTGACTGAGTGTAAACAGAAGTGAGTGTGTGTGGGGGATAAAAATGGAACCATCATGAACTTACCTTGATCTAAAATGTAGGCAACATTGGACTGGGCAACTTCATATCCCAGTTCTGCCAAAAATGTATATTTGATGAGGGCGGCATCAATATTCCCTTCTCGATACAAAGAATGGGCTTCCATCAGCATTTCACTCCAGCGACCTCGCTCAGCCACATTCTTAAACAACTACAAGAAAAAAAAAAAAACATAATTCATTTAAAATGAAATTTCCTTTTAACAGATGGTTTTAATCCATCATCTTCAAATTAAATTTTGTCTAGTACCATTGTTGATCTGCTAATTGAATTGCAGTGGTGAACAACATTGGTAGGCAGGAAAATACTTCAGTATCCAGTGGGGTGTTGAGAATAGATTTGATGTTGAATTTCATTATCTAATTCCACAATGACAAACATCTGTGACACCTGTTGCCAAATACCAACATATCAATAACAAGAAAATATAATACATTCACTAATCGATGTAAGTACCTACCATTAAAATAATATGGAAAGACTCAAATGTAACGTTACAACATGAATTTAGACTATGACATCATCAAATCTTGACTATTAATTTTGCGCATAAAAAAAATATAAAATAAAAATTTAATTGAATTAAAATATAAAAAAATATCAAGTGTTTCAAGCAAATAATGAATCTTGCAAGATAAAATACACTATATGCTGCACATGGTGAAAAAAATACTGACTGCACCTTTGATATCAATGCTAAGAGCATCACATTAAACATGAAAAATTTCAGGAGATTGTTTACTCATATCAAGGCTGTTTTTAACTACCAATTTCCTTTGAACATTGTAGAGGTTAATCATGTGCACTGAATATAGTGGGATCTACCATCATTCCTTAATCAGTGAGTCAGGTGCCATGCGTGATACACACTTAGGTGATCATGTATCTTTCTGTGTAGATCCCAGCCATCAACCTGTTCTTCACTTCAGCTTATTTCATCAGTGATCTTCTCAACCTCTGAGGTCAAAAACACAACACGGCAGAGGAGTGAATGGTTGTGAAGCAGATGAATGCCTGCCAGATCGAGTGGAACAGTGCTCATCATCACAATACCAGCAACATGTTAACAAGCGAGGAGTCAGCTAGATGGTAATCACGCTGGTATGAAGGAACCTGAAGACCAACACAGGATGAGAGGGTGGGTTACATAAATAGGAGAAATTTATGTGCAAAGTTGAGGCATCTGGTAGGATAGTATTTAGCCAGATGCCATAAACTACCAGTACTTGTAACTAGCCACACTCCATAATACTGGAATATTAAATGTAAATAGGGGGAGGTTTAGATGCAAAGTTGAGGGATCTGCTAGGCTAATGTTTACCCAGATGCCATAGACTACCAGTACTTTTAGCTAGCCTCATTCCATAATATTGGAATATTAAATGTAAATAGGGGAGGTTTATATGCAAAGTTGAGGGATCTGGTAGGCTAATGTTTACCTAGATGCCATAGACTACCAGTACTTGTAGCTAGCCTCATTCCATAATACTGGAATATTAAATGTAAATAGGGGAGGTTTATATGCAAAGGAGGGATCTGGTAGGCTAATGTTTACCCAGATGTCATAGACTACCAATACTTGTTCTTTGCCTCATTCCATTGGAATATTAAATGTAAATAAGTACAGCAGGAGAAGAGGTTTCATATTCTCTTCATAACAGAATCATTGAAACAATTATTGCCTTGTTCATTGGCTCTACTTACCTCTACTGCCATGTGACAATTACTGAGCACTCCAGTTCCTGTCGCATGCATTTGTGCAAGATTATAGAAAGCCAAAATGTGCCCCCCTTGGGAGGCTAGATTAAAATACTTCACTGCAAGTTTATAGTCTCTTCTCACTCCCAATCCACCTGCAAATGTAAAAAATAACATCTTTCTCAAAGAATAGTATAAACAGAGTAAACAAGTCTGCAATTTGTTTTTTCTTGTTGCTTAAAGAGAAAGATAAAGAAATTTTTTTTTTTTTATTGAATTTTTCCTAAATTTTAATTAGTGAATCTTCTGTCCCATTATTCTAAGTTTTTCAGGTTTCTATCTTCATTATTGTTGTTGTTTTTGAATAACCGAAACAAAAGGGAGGCAATCTGTGTTAGCTAAGAAAATTTTTTGATGTAAATAACAACGAGTTGATTTAGCCTAAGATCCATAACTCTGTAAAGTCAATGATTGATTTGCTACTATTGATTTTATAAACAGCATCCCCCCTTTCTAAATCTATAACAAATCAATATTTTTTTTGATTCTGACAAGGGTTGCTTCCTTCCTAAAAAAAATGTCTAAAGAATGCTAATCTACAGAAATTATTCCCCTTTCCCCGAAATTTTTCTATTTTTTTATGAGTGGACCACTTTATTTAAGTAGTACCATCATAAGAGAAAAAACATGTCCAGTTTTAAAAATTGCTTTTACACTAGTGAATTTAAATGGATATCAAAGTGTTGGGTAATGATTAACGAGTCTAGTTACCACGAAATTCAATCCTCACCGAGTGCCTCATAGAAAATTGACTGTAAACAACTCTGCAAAGATTGACATATGAAAAAAAAAAAAAAAAAAAAAAATCAACCAACCTAACTCATCCCATAACAGTTGTTATATTTAGTGTATGATAATGCAAATGTAACAACTATTATGGGACAGAGGACACATTTTCTTTTATACTTTTAAGTGTGTATGTATATATATATATATATATATATATATATATATATATATTTTGCAAAAATTAAATTCAGGGGTTTTAGCTTCTATTTTTGAAACATGGTTTGGAACTGTGTAGTTTAAATAAAAACCATATTTTAAATCAATTAATTTATAATATATATATATATATATATATATATATATATATATATATATATATATATAGGGTTGGGTAAATAAGATAACTAGATAATAGCGACCATACAGAAATTAAGATGGCAAGTCTTTACTAGTTTATAAAAAACAACTAATAAAAACTCTTGCCATCTTAATTTCTCTAGTGAATGCTCTTGCCCTCTAAGATATAAAAAATAGGTGTTATTAAATATTTCCTCAAGACAGTGCACATGAATTTATATATATATATATATATATATATATATATATATATATATAAAATGCACTTTTTGTTGAAAAAGATTTTTTTTTTAAAGTAAAGAAAGCGTAGCATGTTGAGAAAAGGTCCCAAACTTAATAAAAAGTTTTATCACGAAAATGTTTGTTATCATTAAGCGGAAAAACCAAAGTATTTTTTTAAATATTTTTATTAAATTTTTTAATCATTTCTATCATGTTCAAAATTTTGTTTGAAAATTTTTTTTTTGCTACATCAGCATTCTACATAATATTTACGATTAGTATTTTAGCGCCTTTTCTTTTTTTTCTTTCTTTCTTTCCAGTGAAAAACATTGATTTGGAAATTCTTGCAAAAAATCAAATAATTGTCAGATTTTAATGAAACTTTCAGAATTTATATATGAGCAAATTTCATTGAATACGACAGTCAAGGTGTTTTGATTTAGTTTTTTATATATTTGTGTCGTCAACAAATATGTTATGAATAGGGTCTGGTAGGTCTCCATGAATAAATGAGACCTAATTGTGCTATGTTCAGAAAAGTGTAGTACGAGTCTTCATGCCAAATATGTTGTAATATGGCCTATATAATTATTTACAAATTTTGATTGATCAAGAATACAATTCCTTAACGGACATTTAAATTCATAAATAGTAATTGTCCTATTTAATTTTGTTCTAAGATGTGACTTATTATTTTTAACTACAAGATTAGAGGTTTTAAATTTTTTGTAATAAATAATCTAATTTTTTTGCTATTGTCAACTGGTGCTGTTTATTTTTTTATATACTTAATTCTAGTTTTGTTGTGTTTGTAATTTCCGTTCATTTGATTTTTATAAAAAATATTAATGTTATTGTTAATGTTTCTATTCTGATTATTGCAATTAGCTACCTTAAACAGAAAAAGCTTAATATAAATTAAAGTAGAACAACTTGGATGGGAGTAACTTACTAAAATGCATGATGCCCAACTGTAGTTGTCCCTCAGCCCAGCCTTGTTCAGCAGCCAGGGTGAAGAACTTGAGAGCATTGCCATAATCCTGAGAAAAAAAAATTATTAAGAATAATAATAAAGATGTATGATAATGTGGAAAAAGATTTTGTGTCACATGTTTTGTCCCTTAAGACTTCATTAGACTAGGGTGTTTACATTGATGTTACTATACATACACATGAACAAGAGGTGCTGGGAATTTTAAATTTAAAATATTTTTTTTTTTATATGTATTTTGGAGTATATAATCTAGTCAATTTCATTTAGATTCTTTTTCTTTCCACCATCTTTGTTATTAAATATCCCACATTGTGATTACAAAAGATCTGCTAAGAATAGTGAAACATTGTAACAACCTGGACATAAATTTACTGTGGATCATCTAGCAATTAAAGCACTTTCTAAACATTTTAGTCAATGAATTATTTTCTCTTTTAATTAGAGTAGCATTTTTTATGCCATTTCATCTGTGGCAAAGAGGTTGTAGAGTGGAAAATAATTTGTCACCCACAAGTACATGCAGAGATGCTTTTGGACTCTATCAAGACAGGAAAGTAAAGACTGGGTGGAAGGAGGGCTCCTGCCCATATATGGGAGCAGTATTCCATTTTTGGCCTGATTTGGCATCAGAAGTCAGGTACTTGCTGGAGTGATACACAGAACTGACCATTTTTTTTCAGCAATTGATTGTATGTACAAAAGTTCCACCTGTGATGTGGGTTAAAGTTAAGACCCAATAGACGGTCAAGGCATGAGGCCTCCCTGATACTGTCAGAATAAAAAAAATTGATTTTTTTTTTTAATCATTTTAAGAAGGGGTTATGAACTAATATAAATACAGTGTTAAATCAATTTCCTAACTTTTTAAAGAGGGATCTATATTTTGTTTTTATTTACATTTGGGGGAAAAAGACAACATCAGTAGTAAACAGTTATCAATGACATAAACTCAGTTTCAGATTTGATATTTGTAAATAAAAACAAAGTACAGGTAATGAAGTCAGTAACTGATTTAACATTATATTATAAACAGGAGCCCCACTTCTAAAATGACAAAGAAAAAAATGTTTTTTTTTTATTCTGTCTTTTGTCGTGACATGAGAAAGGTCAAATAAATGCTAATCAGCAAAAATTGTTCAAAAATAATTTCTTTTTGTTTTTTTAAATGAGTGGATCAGACAATTTAACTAGTGCTGGAAAAGCAATAAAATGGTGATGGGTGAATTTACTTAGAGTAAATAAAGTTTTTCTAAAAGTAATGTTAATTAATATGACTAATCAAATGTGCCATGAAAGAGATATTTGGTTTCTCTATATACACATCATATTTCAAGTTATTTTTCATCTTGATAAATTTGGTGGAAATATTATATAAATTTTACAGGCACCTTAACAAAAAGAAAAGAAAAAAAAACAAAAGTGAAATCACTTTTAATTAAAATGATTTGTCACAGTAAAAATCTTGAAAATCATAACCTGTAAGCTATCTTATGCAATTTTGATTTTATAATACTTAAAAGCAACAAATAAGAAAGAAAAAAATAGAGAAATGGAAAAAAGAAGAAGAGAGTGAAATGGAAAAAAAGAAGAAGAGAGTGAAATGGAAAAAAGAAGAAGAGAGTGAAATGGAAAAAAGAAGAAGAGAGTGAGAGAGAGTGAAATGGAAAAAAAGGAGAGAGAGAGAGTGAAATGGAAAAAAAGGAGAGAGAGAGAGTGAAATGGAAAAAAAGGAGAGAGAGAGAGTGAAATGGAAAAAAAGGAGAGAGAGAGAGTGAAATGGAAAAAAAGAAGAGAGAGAGAGTGAAATGGAAAAAAAAAAGAAAGAGAGGGAAATGGAAAAAAAAGAGAGAGAAATGAAATGGAAAAAGAGAATGAGAAAAAAAAAAAAGAGAGAGAGAAAAATGGAAAAAAGAAGAGAGAGAGAAAATGGAAAAAAAAAGAGAGAGAGAGGAAAAAAGGAGAGAGAAATGGAAAAAAAAATGGAGAGAGAGAGAAATTCTCAAAGGAAAAGAGAGAGAGGAGGAAATGGGAAAAAAGAGAGAGAGAAAAATTGAAATGGGAAAAAAAAAGAGAGAGAGAGTGAAATGGAAAAAAGAAGAGAGAGAGAGAGTGAAATGGAAAAAAGAAGAGAGAGAGAGAGTGAAATGGAAAAAACAATAAAAGGAAAGTAAAAAGAAACAAAACAAAAAAAGAAAAGAAACAAACTAAAAAAGGAAAAAGAAAAATAAGCAAAGCAAAAAATAAAAACAAAAAAGTAAAGTAAAAAGAAACAAAACAAAAAAAGAACAAAACCAAAAATGATAGAAAACAAACAAACAAACAAACAAACAAAAAAGAAAAAAGAAAAACAAAGAAATAAGAGAAACAGAAAAAAAAAAGAAAAAAAAAAAAAAGAAATAAGAAACTAAGCATACTGGTAAATGGTTTAAATGTATCTGGGTACATTTTTATCATGTAAAATGTTCCATGACTTATCAAGACTAATATCCCTATCTTCTTGTTTTTATCACAGCTCTTTCAGAGATATGTCATTAAATGTAGTTATGTGGAGGATTTTTTGTACCTTTTCATTCAGAAGATTTTTCTTTTTGGTAAACAAACCAAAAAAGTGGAGAGGTTTTTTTTTTGTTCCTTAAAATCTGAGCAAGAGAGTTCATGCTGATGTGAAGAAAGAAAACTTGAAGCAAGTTAAAAAAAAAAAAAAAATCATAACCACAAAAGCTAACATTTTTTTCTTCTTGTATGGAAAGCTTCAATTGCCAAATATTGTTCTGAGCACCAGTTTCCATGTGAAATTTAATTCTACATTCAAGTTTGTTTAAACAATCTCTTTTCTATGCTCACTTTGGCTACTTCTTTTATTCCATACACTTTCCAGGATAGTTTTGTATCTTCTGATCTTATTTGGGAAAAATGATTCATCTCTAAATTTCAATGACTGTTGAGGTAAAATTTAGTCACATTTTCTAACTTTACTCAGAATGAATAAGAAATAAATATAAAATGAAATAAAAAAAATTCTAATTAGTCTCATCTTCCCTTAAAATCCTAACAGAAAAGAAAAGCTTTAAGAGAATAAGTTACCTTCTCAACACCTCTTCCTTGCAAATACATTAGCCCAAGCCCACACTGGCCAACTGGATTGCCCTATGATAGAGAAAGAAAAAAATCATGAAGTTACCAACAAAAACAGCTTCATTTTAAAAAGAATGTAATTATTATATATATATATATATATATATATACACACACACACTCACACACACATACACATACATACATTAAAAATTTCAGATAGATTATATCTGTAAAAGGGCAATATGAATAATGACAAAAACATTTTTAGCTGATGTGTTTTGTCCTCTGAAAGACTTTATCAAGGCAAAAGAACAAGGTTTTTATTTTGTAACAAGTATTTATATACAAGAGCAAAAATGTTATTAGTTTTTCAAAATTTTTAAATTTAAGAATGCTCGTAAATATTCATCAGGTTAGCCAAAAGATTAAGCAAGCAAGCTATGAAGGCTTTAAACAATTTATTTTTAGAGGTCTCTCTTCAGCCACAATTTTGTATACTTGCAAGACACTAGCAACAGTTAAATAAGTACCTATGTAGATTTGCGTGTACTCTGGTCATTTACCTTGTCAGCGGCCTTCCTGAAGTACGTCATGGCAGTATGATTATTTTGTTTTACCATAGGACTACCTTCAGAGTACATCTGAAAAAAGAAAAATTAAATGTCAAGTCCAAAGTAGAGCAAATAACATTAATAACCCATGATTTATTGATTTTTATGGCCTATCAACCCTATGCAGGTTATTTAAAGCCAGAAAATATTTTTAATTTGTAAGAATTTTCTTTTTTTTTTTTTTTTGAGATATAAGATTTACTAATTAACCCATAGCTAAAGGAAGAAGAGTTGAATTCATCAGAATTTGATAAACAAGAAATTATAATGTGGATATAAATTAGGGGATCAATTCTATATTGTAATCAATATATAAACTGATCTCTCAGTTTATAACCACGGCAGCTTGTATACATTTATATTCCAGAAAATGTAAATAAATCTAAAAGACATGCCTGTGTGGCTAATCAGTATTTTGTTGATTCGTTTTCTCCAGTTTATTTGAAGGTTATTTAAAGCCAGAAAATATTTTTAGATTGTAACAATTTTTCTTGAGATAATAATGATTTAGTGATACAAGTCTTACTAATTAACCCATAACTGGAGAGAGAAGAGGTTGATTCATATCTTTCCCAAGGGTATTTGCATGTAAGTGAATACAATGAACCCAACTGGATTTGGAACTCAGCTCTCCGTTTAATAATTCTGAGCTATTATCCATTAGACCACTGGCACATCTAAGCTTACAGCACTTGATATTCTCTAGTGGTCACCCACCTTGGTACTCACCATGCTTGACATTGCTTAACTTCGCTGATCGTACAGGAACTGGTATCTCAACATGATATAGTTGTAAGCCCATTACTAGTCCAGTAAATTGTAAATTAAAAAAAATCATATATGGAAGGTATTATATACAAATTTGTATATCCCGGGTTAGTGAATGACAAAATGCAAAAATAAATAAATAAATGAAAGAATGCAGTTTCAATTAAAATTGGTTGGTTTCATGTTTTTGTTTAGCGGCATATCAACCTGTACGCCGAAATCAAAATATGAAAATTCAAACTTTCTATTAGAATTATGCTTGTCCCTCCCTTCATTATTTTGCACGACCATTACACCCTGTCAATACCTTATAAATAATGGACTATTCCGTTTTGATCATGTGGAAAGAGGTGAAAAGACACTACTTGGTTTCAGTGAGAAAATGAAAGAAAGGAATATAAAAGGGTTTAACAGCTGTTTCAGTGAAATGGAAAAATTGCCAATCTCAATATTTTTTCATTTATATCCCCTTACTTCTTAAAATAATGACCAGCATTTGTATTTATGATTGTTATTATAATATTTTATTAAAGTTGTTAAGCTCAAGTATTTAATGATGCAAAGGGGAATTTCTACAGATATTTTATTGTTGTAGACCTTGCCATGAGCTTATTCAATTATTAACTAAAGAATTAAGATTCTTCATAAAATTAAAATAGGAAAACCATGAAATTTTCACAGTTCTTTCTAGTTATAATTCAAAAGAATGACATTATTTCATGATTAAATTATAATTACTGAGCTTCATTTTTTCCCCAGATAATCTTACAAAATCAAAACGAGAAGTGAAATATTGTTTCTCTTTATAAGAAATGAGATTAATCATAGCAAATTGTTTTTTGACAATGTATGACATGTCTTCAATTTTACTATAAAATATAACATTTAGTAACAACAGTTAAAACTAATACAAATTTTTCCTCTTCTATAAATGATTTTAGAAAACTGCTATATTCAAGCACAGTTGAAAAGAGCTGAATAAGTTGTTTAAGGAACTGCTAAGAACTGTCAGTGATCATTATTTTCAATTAAAAAATTCTCTATTAAATTTTCAGTGTCTTACTTCCTATTTTCATGCTTAATTATTTTTGTTTTGTTTATGAAACTAAGCATTATATTTTCCCTTGAAAATGTGTGCTCCACCACATAAAAATGTCATGATTCAAAAACCCAAACTCCACCAAAAATCATTTAGGTCATCAACCCTCTTCTCAATTTTGTTGACCTTATAACTACCACTTCTATTCAATAGCATGAAAAAGTTACAATTACATGGGAAAAAATGTACTGAAGGATTTTAAATGCAAGCAATTTTTTAAACAAGCAGTTATTGTTGTTTAACTAAATATGTAAACTTTGAGCAACTTTAGAAATAAGTTAAAAATACATACACACATATATACATATATATATATATATATATATATATATATATATATATTACTGACCTTTCCAAGGAAGGCTAACGCCAAAGCATTTCCAGATTCTGCAGCCATCAAAAAATAATGTAACGCTCGCTGAAAATACACACAAAAACAATTATTTTGTTAAACAAAATTAGACATTTTCTGTCTGAATTTCTGGGATGAAAGATTATCATTATTTACATTATTGAAAAAGATTCAGAAGATCTGCACTCCATACAATGCATATGTGGCTTCTTGCATTATATAGAGAATATCATACAAATTTTTGTTCCATCGTAACCAATCACTGACTTTCAACTTGCATATAAGCAAAGTGTTCTAAACTACAGAACAGGTGGCTTTATTGTTTGTAGTGGTGTGTAAAGTATTGAGATCCATGACCAACAGATTTATGGCTTTTGAACAAAAGCAGATTTTTATTCTTTTTATTTTTGCTACTTCTAGATCTCTTCAATTACATGTAAGCAGTTTCATTGAAATTTAAACATGCCTGTGAGAAAAAGGCATGAATCTAACTCTCCTTACACACAGATTCCGCTATTCAGGATTTTATAATGAAGAAAGATAGGCATAAAAGTGATATGGTTTTAAGCCTGTAGATATATGTAAGATGATTTTATAATGGAGAAAGACATCCAGGAGAAAAGTCTGGTTGAAGGATATAAAGCTTCAACATTCACTCCTAATGATTTTTAAGATAAGCTTGCCATTGTTCATCACTCTATAGCTGATGCCCAAGATGTAATCTTTGATTCTCAAATAACAAAATTTTTTACAAGGTTTCATATTTCAAGTGGCAAGATTTTAGATAAATTATCACCATAATTCTATTCTCATAAATTCATCATTCAAGACAGATACTGTTTTTCATTAGCTACTGTTAATGTTTTAGTGTAATACTATCAACACCCACATAGGAAGGGAAGCGGAGGTTTTATCTCAATCCCAAGTGTTTTATGATAGACCAGCGGATGGTTACTTTTAAAGTTCTGTCTTCTAAGTGGCATTCACTTTAACCCAGTGGGAATGGAAAGTAAAGGGATTATTTGAGATCAAGTGGCAACAAAACCAGAAATATCCATGTGCTGGTCTATATTAATAGTAATGCTTTAGATCGGGGAAAGTTCTGGTTCACCCTTAGCAGATTCAAAAAGAGAACATGATGATTGATATTGCATTTAAGTTTTGAAGATTGTAGTTGACAGTATAGCAAAAAGCTGGAAGAGAGTTCCCCAGGTGAGAAGTACAAGAGAAGAAACTATTATTTTATAATCATTTCAACATGATGCATATATTTTTGTCATTTACAAATATGATAATAAAAAAACAAAACATTTCAAATGATAAAAATGATGTCTGAATGAGGCGAAGTAAAGCTTGGATTTAATAAAACAGAAGTCAACTACTAAATTAACAATCAAAGTTAAACTTTACAACTCAGCACTAACTTTTGAAGTTGTATATCCTGGACCCATATTAATTTTGGAGGTGTTAAGTTTTTGAATGGTGGGTATATTATCATCACTTTAACTTCTAGGGTTTTAGTGATATTGTTAGAAAATTTTCAGGGTATTTGCATGAACAGATGTAGAAAAATGTAGACATAATTTTTGTTTTTTTTTACTGTACATATAAATTTTGAAAAAAAAATATAAACATGAAACTAAAAAAAAAAAAAAATACAACAGAATTTATAAAAATGATTCCTACATATCACATTGTGAAATACTTGCATATATAAAAGTGGGGTCTCTTGTTCAGTAAGATGAATATGACGGTCGCTTTGTCAAACCTATCAATAAAAGCAAGGTCAAAAATGCTTTCATTTCTTCAAAGCAAACTTTTTTTCAAGCTCTGATTTGCAAGTTTGGCTTTGGCTGTTTCACCTAATTTTGTTTTCACATTGTTTGCATATCCATTAGTTTCTACTACCATTAATTGAATAACTTTGTCAGATAAAAAAAAGACAACAAATGTCTACCTCACTAGCTTCTTGATCAACATTTGTAGGTCCAGGAGTATAGGAAAACTCTGGTAGCCACAGGTGATTGTATGATTGTGATGATTTGAAAATTCCTCCTCCTCCTTGGTTGGAATCCCTTTCAATCTCACTGTCATGCACATCACCAATATCTGCATGGATAAATCCGAGAAATTCTTCTTCGTCACTCTTACTGTCCATGAAAAGTTCCTCTATTGACATAACAGATCCATGCCTGAGGTCACCATTGTGATCAAAAAACAAATGTTTTTAAAAGAATTTAAAATTTGCTGATAAAACAACTATTTCAATTAGGACCAAATGACTGACATCCGGTCATCCCCAGTTTACATCACAAGCTCAATGACATCATTTAAGTAATAATAGGTTATTTTTAGAAATGTACTTTCCTTTTGAAGCAAAGCTCTGTCACTCAGTGAACATGTCCGTCCAGAGAATATTGAGAAAGAGTATCGCTGGCGGATATATATACCTGCAGAGTTGTAAAGGTTGAAGGCATTTTTCAGATACACCAAATTAAAATGACAAATCTTACCTCATGATTGATCTCTACTCCTCGACCTCCTTGATAATAAAGCTGTCCCAGCACCACCTGGCAGCAGAAAATGATTATGAATCAATAAATGAACAATCAATGCTTTTGATATTTCCTATATGAGGAAGTAAGTTATCTACAAAACTTGAATTTCATTAATAAAAAAAAATATAATATTACGTATATATTAAAATAGTTTTTTTTTTTTTTAGTCTACATATAAGAGAAGACATAAGAATTCAATGGGATTTGTTATGACCATGCTTCTGGCTATTATCAAGATCAGGGAAAAATAATACTTTCATTTTATTATTATTATTTTTATTTTTTTTTTTGTTGGTTCCAATCTGTTTGATATGACTGCTAAAAAAAATCCCTCCCCAAATTTATAAACAAATCCTACAGATGCATGCTGGGAGTTTTAAGAAATGGATCACTTCTCAATCTGATCCATCATATTTTGTTCTTTCTTGTCTTGAAGTCAGAACACTACAATAACTTAACTGTAGCCCTTTTGTATGTGAAAACCATTTTTACTTTGTGAATTCTTTGCCTTATTAAATGTTGATTTGCATATATATTGTTTGCTTAATATTATTTTGCCCTTCTTTTTCTTATTGTTTATTAATCAATTCCATTTATTGAGCATTTTGCCAATTACACTTAACCAGGACGATTTACTCCACACTGTTCATCCAATATGATAACATCACACACAATGTGATGTGCAAGTGACATTTTTTAAATAGGCTAAATGAAAATGTATTTATCAGTTGTTAAAGAAACGGAATGAGTTTTAAATAAATAAGAAAAAACTGATGGACTTTAGACTTACCTGAGCTTGCATATCCCCCTTGTCAGCAAGAAAATGGTAATACTGAAGAAGATCATCATCAAGTAAACCAGAATTTGAATGTGGGTTCTCCACTTCTTCCTGCAGCCTGATACGTTGGATAACAGGTCCACCTGATATTGACACAGACTCAGACACTAAAAGAAACAAATTAATAACTTTAAACTGCTTCTGAAAATATTAAACATTTCTTAGCTAGTTTTGTCAGATGAAAATTTTTAGCGATTTAATTAAAATTTATTAAGTATCAAGCACAAAATAATGTGTGGATGTGGATCAATAAGTCCATAGGCTGACTGCTATTTATTAAATTTTGATCTGAAAATTTCACTGTATAAATGTTCAATAAGTAGTGGGTTAAGTACATTAACAAGGAAAGAGACAGACTTACTAACATATGCATAAATATATATATATATATATATATTTTTTTTTTTTTTTTTTTACATGTGAGTTTATAGGTCCAAATTCCTATATATATTTACCTCAAATAGTTGTTCTCAAATTTAACTATAACAATTGTACATCATTTTGTTTCTCTCTCTATATGGGTCTGTGTATTTGCTCAGGGTTCCCACTCTTTATAGAAAATCATTTTCCAGGATATTTTCTAAATTTTACAGGACAGCATTTGTTCATGGAGGTTTCATAATTTACCATTACATCTAATATTGGAGCATTTAACTGATTTTATTCTTACCTTTTTTTTATGATGTAGGGTTAATGATGAAGTATCTTGATTTCATTACTGACAAGTGTATAAAAATAGACAAATACCCCCACCCCCAACCCTGTGGAAGTTAAAAAAAAAAGAAAAAAGAAAAAGAAAGAAAGGAATTTCCCATCTGGCTAGTTGTCCTTTCCAACACCTACTGGGTTAATCGTTCTGCATTGAACTAAAATGTGAATGTGAATCCCCTTTAAAAATGTAAAATAATTGTTATTTTTAAAGAAATATTAAAATTGCGGTGAATTTGAGGGTTTAAATCACAGAAAAAAAAAAAATTACCAAAAATTTTTTTTCCCCAGTGAACTTGAAGTGACCTTTATGTAGAAATTTACCAAATTTTCTTTAAGGAACAAACTAAACCATGAGGTGTACTCATGATTTTATTTTTATTAAATTAATACTTATTAAAGAAGAAAGGTTCTTTAAATGAATATCCCTTTTCATGAGGTGCAATTTTTTATTCAAATAAATACTGTTTATTTTCCCCAAATAATCTTTGTTGTAAACAAAATTTATGATTGGCATAAATGAACTGAAACCGAAATTTCAAGTTAAATTTGCTTTTGTCAAATAAATAACCATATATAAAAATAAAACAGAACACAAAAAGTAAAAATTTGATTTGGATTTACGGAAAATTAAAGTGCTACACATGAAGGTCTTGCAATAATGCTGAAGTTAGTCTACTTATAGCTTTTTAATCTTTCTTCTTTTAGGTCAAACAAAATGGTATCTAGAATGGTTACTTCTTTATTTTTTCTGCAATACTTTTACGGTAAATACTTACTGCAATACTTTTACGGTAATGGAAATTTTCTAGCATTTATTTTTTTTAAGAATGTTTTCTTCATATACCAGAGAAAAAAAAAATCAAAGAACTCTATATGATTTTTTTTTTTAATTGGTATCATCAGGAAGACAGGCTAGTAAAGCCACTGAAACACATTTAAATTTTTGCAGATTAAAATTGGAAAGGAAAAGCAAAAAAATGGAATAGAAGTGACTGACATTCCATTTAAATTTTTGCAGATTAAAGAAGTGTTAGCTCAACTGTAAATTGATGAGATCTCAATGCCAGTCTAGTACTGCAGCTTAAATTCAAAAAAAAGGTACCATAGTGAAGAGCTCATCTGAACAATTACCATGAAAGTATTTATAAAAAAAACACAGAGAGGCAACCTTACAGTGGTGGGAAAGTGACTGAAGCCAAGCCACCAGATCAGGACCAATAATATTGCTGATTCTTCTTTGGATCTTATCAAGGAGCTCAAGGTAAATAGCAGGGGCATCGGACCATATGTGGCAGCAATATTCTAAGCATGGATGAATGGTAGACTTATAGATATGTAAGATAGATTCTGGAGAGAAAAATTGTCTCACATGACACAGTGAACCAACTTTCTTAGCAGCTGACCTAGCAATGGATTCAATATAGTCTTTCCACTTCATGTCAGCTGAGAACATTAGCCTGAGAAGTTGCAACAAGTCACTTTTCTGGAGGTTAGCATCAGCCATGCTGATGGAAGGCAGAGAAGGGAATTCTCAGATAATTAATGGAGAAAAGTTTAGTTTTGGAGGCATTAAAATTAACAAGCCATCTTTTGCTCCAGTTAACAATGGACTTGAGGTCATTTTGGACATCAGCTGCCATTTTGACCTTGTCAGACTGATCAGCCTTACTATCAAGGCAGGAGTAAATTGTTGTGTAGTCAGCATAGATGCCAAGTTGAGAGCTGATGTCATCAGGAAGGTCATTAATGAAAATTAAAAATAGCATAGGACCAAGGATGGAGCCCAGGGGGACATCTGCATTAGTACGAAAGGATCTAGACAAGTGGCTGTTCAGGATAACTTTCATTTCACAATTTGATAGGAAAGACTGGATCAGTTCAAAAATGTGTCCAGAGACACCATAACTTTTCAGCTTGTGGAGAAGACCTGTATGCCAAACCCTGTCAAAAGCTTTTGAGATGTCCAATGCTACAGCCTGGGCTTCACAGTTTTTTATCTAGAGCATGATAGACTCTTTCCACAATTATCGTCAGTACATCAGCAGTTGACCTGGAGAAACGAAAGCCATATTGCTTGTCTGAGAAAAGGCCCTGCAATGAGAGATGATGAACCAATTCAGCATTGATTAGGGCCTCTAGGAGTTTCCCAAAAAGAGGTAGAAGGCTAATAGGCCAATAGTTGGAAGGGTCAGACAGTTCACCAGAGTTCTTAAAAACTGGAACAACAGATGATGACTTCCAGCAGGCAGGAAAGCAGGAGGCAGCAAGGCATTTATTATACAGTTTAGAGAGAACAGGAGCCAGTTCAGGAACACACTTCTTAATGACTATTACAGGGATACCATCAGGTCCACATGCTTTGTGGGGATCTAGGTTAGAGATGATAGCAGAAACCATGGAAGGGGTTATATGCATATATCACTCAACAGAGAATCAGTTCTAAGTGGGAAGTCAGGTAGGGATACTCCAGATGAGTCAAGAGTAGAGTTTAGGAGAATTTACAAGCAAAACATTCAGCTTTATCAGTGGAGGATGATAACACATCAAATTGATTGAAGAATGCAGAATAGAAACCTTTTTAATTTAATACCCTATTACAGAGCCGCAGTAATCATGAGAGCCAAAAAGTTGTTAGATGCTATATGGTGCCACATTCTCTCTGCAAACAGGGACTTAGCTCCTTCAAGGACTCAGTTTCATTTATTACAAGCAGTAATGAATAGACACCCGTTATGATGAGAGCTGTCACACTGATATAGCCAAAAATAGTGGTTCCTATGTGCTATAGCAGCCGAGTATGTTGGTGTGAACTATGGAAAGGATTGAGGTTTTGCCTGGTATTTCTGAGAAGGTATGAATGCGTCCATACTGGCTCTGACCCAAGAAGAAACTCCAGTGGCGCAATTTTCAATTGGGAGGTTGAAGATGTCAGTCTATGAGGTGTCACAAAGAAAATCACAGAGTGAGTTCCAATCAGCATGCTGGTAATAGAAAGAGGTGTTATGGATAGGGGTTTTTTGTTTAATGGATGAATGGAATAAAATATCAATAGCTACCAATTCGGTGGTCAAATATTACCAAGAGGGCAGTTTGTGAAACTCAGCAAGAGCAAGAAGAAGGTAAAAAATAAATCAAAAAAAAGAAGACTGTTTCTTAGTTTTTTAGGGAAAATGAGTAGGGAAGTTCACAATTTGAGTAAGGGATTGAGCAATGGAAAAATTTCATGTCTGAATATTGGCAACATCAGTACCTTTAGAATATTTCAACCATGTGTCATAGTGAGCATTAAAATTTTTTTCACAGATGGAGATTATTTTGATAATTTTGGATATTGTCAAAATATATTTCTATTTTATACTAATTCTTAAATAGATGACAAAGTTGAAAAAGGAAAAAGATTTATGACAGAGTTTTTAAAAAAACAAAACAAATACATAAAAGTTCAAATTGATTTGAGAAAATGCCCTGGCCATCAGAAGATTATCCCAGATGTAAACACCAAGGCCATATATGTGAATGTTGGAATCTTTTTCAGTAAAGGGGAAAAATTCATTGGTTCATAAAAGGCAAAAATATCTATCAAATTTTTTCCAGGAGAAAAAAAAAAAAGCAGAAGTAGGAATTGATACCAGAAATATTGGATAAAAAAAGAATCGGTTGATTGAAAATTTTTTTTTTGTTTAATGGTTTTTTGTATTTCTTTTTTTTTGTTTTTTCCATGAGATTTGTTTTTAAGGAGAAAAAAAAAATTAAAAATAATTGTCATAATTCTTCATCAGTTACAATAATGTGGTTTGGCCCGTTATATGGCTGAGAACAGAGTTATAAAAATGTTGGTTGCCCAAAGAAATACATGCAGGGACACCTACCCATGCAGGACATTTGAACATAAATTAAAAAATGGTATGTGACTATTGATCAGAGCAGCCTCTCTAATGAAATAAAAATTAGAATGAAGAAACTTCACCAAAAAAAAATTTCTTTATAATTTAAAAATTTTAGCCAATAATTAGTCTGATCAAAATAAAAAAAAGACAGTCAAATCATTTTGGCCCTGGCAGAAGAAAGAGAGAACTGGTAAATCATATCCTGATCAGGGAACAAGGTACAAACCTCTACTCTTGTTCAATAGACATGGAAGGAGTGCAAGCCAGACAATAGGTGAGCCTTGACCCTAAATGATTTACTCATTCTAGAAATAATTTTTATTAGTTCAAGATTTCCAACACTAAACATGATTGATTCTGATAAATAATTTGTTGCACTCTTTAATATCTAGTGACATATAATATCACAGATCAAGGGAGAAGGTAAAGGGGTTCAATAAGACAATATTTATTGATCCAGTTCATTTCTTGTGGAAAAAAGACATAAGAGAAATGCTACAGTGACTGCTTGAAATACAGTCAATGGGAATATAGATGTGATGACCTTAACTCAAAAGGTGAAAAATAATTGGAACCATAGTGGGGTTCAACTGGAAATACTTGGAACATGAAGAAACTTTGAGCCATTAGTACCAGCCCAGTATTGAGCTGGCAATTCTCTATAAATCAGAAAAAAATAAAACTGTAGATTTAAATGAAATTTTCTTTGAAACTTCTTCAACATAATTGGTCAAAATCTGATGTTTTTTGTTGTAATCTCTTTCCAGTTTAGCAAGGTTCTAAATTATCAAAGTATACACTAAAAAAAAAAAAAATGACCAAATTTGGCAAGTGAAATCCTTGTTAAAATGAAATGTCATTCTAATATAAAGTTTAAATAGATTGTCAAGATACTTACCAAGTGTGGCTACTTTTCTATAATAAGTGAGGGCAGATTCACACTTCATTTCAACTCCAATGCCTGCCCAGTAACGATAACCCTAAATAAATAGAAAAAATCAAATTTTAAAAAATTAAAACGATTTCAAATTGTTATAAAAGTCATTGGATAACCAAATAATTTAATTCAATTTAAGTAAAAATACAAGAATTTTTTTTTTTTATCATTTTTGACATTTGTCTCAAATTAACCAACTGCCTGAAGGTGACACTCAGAAAAATCTGGAAAAAATTCAAAGGTTTCTTGATCAAATTCATAGATAAATCCCAAATATTAAATCTATATCTTTAATACATTTAAAATCAGAGCATCTTGAAATTTCACTGTATTTTTTAATTTTGCTAAACAAGGCTTTCCATGAATTTCTGACATTCATAGCTCCAATGATATTGCAGGTACAGATTTGAAACTTTGTGGCAATAGTTACAATTTAATGTAGATTACAAAAATATAAACAGCTTAGGTATGTCTTATGTATTTTTATAAGAACCTGAAAATAGCTAAGATGCAAAAAGATGCCATCCACTTTGAGAGCTTCTCATTTACAAAATCTGTCAAATCCAGCATCTAAATCAGTTTTCCTGTCTTTTATGACTTAGATTATTTCTATGCAGCAACCATATTCATTCCTGTTAGAGGATGTATTACTGTTTGAAAATTGCCCAATTCTTTTATCATCCTTAAATTTGCCTATTTTCATGACATCAGCAGGTAAGAAAATTTTTATATTTTTACCACCTATTCTTACATGTCTGAAGATTATGTGACAGAAGTTTTCATTTTGTGAGCAAACTTCTATCTAGGGCTAAGACATTTATCTAGAACAACTTGCTTTTAAAATTTGTTGATTTTCATACTTTAGAAATTATGAAGCTGAAATTTGGTTCCCTTATAATTTCTTATGCAAGTAAACTATTTTTAATAATTTAATTTTGCATTTTAATTTTTTTTTTTTTTCAAGATTATACATAAAACTAAGTTGAAAGGGAATCATTAACTTCAAATTTATAAGATATCCAGTTTTATTTTTTTTTGTAACTTACCAAAGCCATCTGAGCCAAAGGGTCCCCACCCAGAGCTGCAAATGTCATGTAAACAATTGTCTATAAAAGGAAAATAAAACAATGGAATTAAATAACAATAACAAAACTCATTCTGCCATGATGCTGACTAACACAGAAGAATTCAGAAATAATTTTTACTACTTAGTAAAAAAGACAAAAAAAAAAAAAAAAAAAAAAATCATTGAGTCACTGCCAGAATCTGATAAAAAAAAAAAAAAAAAAAAAAAATGAAAATAGAATTTAAAATCCTAGGAAATATAAACATTTCTTCATGCTTGCTGCCATTTTTATATGCAAGGATGTTATCTAAATAATGTCTCTGTCATATTTACTATTAGTAGATAAAAAATATTGTTAAAAAAAAAAAAAAAAAAAAAAAAAAATCTTACCAGAATAACAACAATTAAAAATTTTATTTTTTTACAATTTTTGTTCAAATATCTTAATAGAATAATTTCATCATTAGAAGCATTTATATTGCACCTCATACTGGTGAAGCTGGAGGGAGGGGGTATAAACACAAAAATATTTTTGGGATTGTTATAGTTTTTTTGTTTTTGGCAAGTGAATATTGTATTTTTTGGAGATAATGATTTTCAGATCCAGGTCTTGCTATTTTAACCCATAGCTGGGACAGAGAAGAGGTGGATTCACACCTTTCTCAAGATTATTTGTGTAAGTTAATGTAATGAACACAAACAGAATTCAAACTTGGCTTCCTGACTTCCCATTGTGTACACTTATCCATTAAACTACTCACACATCAAGCTTACAGCCCCTGGTATTCCAAAGTGGTCACCCATCTAGGTATTGACCCAGATTAACACTGCTTAACTTCGGTGATCAAACAAGAACTGGTGTTTTGACACATAACTGTAAATCTAAATATTACATAGAACTGTGATATTAAAATGAAGTTTTTATCATTTACATCTACTACCGTGTGTCTCATATCTGGCCCAATTTAAGAGGCTGACAAAATATTTGACATCATACATATTTTGTGATCATTATAATTAATCAATTGTTCGTTCATGTTTTTTATTATGACTTCTTTCTTATATATATATCTTTTATAGCCCAATCAAGGCAATAACACCATTAAGATGAAAGAGGTTATTGAGTGTGAGAGAATATTAGAAAAAGAAAACATTATTAAGGAGAGAGAACAATAAAAGAACTGGAATTAAGAGAGAAGATAATGATTGACATTGCATTTAAACTTTTGAAGATCATAGTTGACAGGAAAGCTAGAAGAATCCTACAGAAAAAATGATTAGAATTGAACTTATGAATACATCTAGCAATGTCAACTGTAAAATGATGAGACCTACCTACCAATCTGGTACTGCACTTAAATTCATAAAGTCAAGATACCAAAAAGGAAAGCTCATCAGAACAATTACCATGAAAATATTTATAAATATAAATAAATTATATAAAATGTGTACGTGTGTGTGGGTAGGTGGGTGCCAGTACACTGTCCCTCCAGAATGTGGGGCATCATGGCTCTCTTGCTTCATTACAAGCACCCTCTTCATCTTGTTAATACTTGTTGCATCATCCATTTACTCAAACTTGTCAAGTCAGTGACTCACTGCACCTCCCACCACCCCTACTTGTTTCTCATGTACTTTGTAAGTATTAAACTTTCATAAGCTTTATTTCCTTACTTCTCCCAAAAATTTCAGTAGTTTCTTTGTATTTCTTATTCTTAGAACTTCCTCATTTATCTCATGGTATCAATGGTACTCTCATCATTTGTCACATCTCAAAGCAAAAAAGTTTTTTTTTTCCTTTCATCCTTCTGGAAAGAAAAATGTCTCACACAACACAGTGAATCAACTTTCCAATCAGTTGACCTAGCAATTGATTCAATATAATCTTTCCGCTTCAAGCCAGCAGATAATGTTAGCCTCTGAAGGTGTGATGAGGCACTCTCCTGGAGGTTAGCATCAGCCATACTGATAGCAGAGAGAAAGTGGTCTTTCAGATGATTAATAGGAGGCAGTTTTGTTTTGGAGGTGTTAAAATTAACAAACCATTCCTTGTCCCAGTTAACAACATATTTTAAGTCACTTTTGAGATTAGCTGCCAATTTGACCTTATCAAACCAATCAAACTTACTATTAAGATAGGAGTAAATAGTTGTCATCAGCATAGGTACAGAGTTGAGAGCTGAAGTCATCAGGAAGGTCATTAGGAATTACAGGAATTAAATTAAGAACAACATAAGTCCAAGGATAGAGGCAAAAGAAAGACACATTGTCCATGCAATACAGGCTATCATTGGTTGCATTTCATTAAAGGTCTCATCTGGAGACAAACTAAAGAAACATTTCTGGTCTAAAGTGGTGAAAGCTTTATTTTTTTCATCTGAGACAAGAAAACTTCAAAGAATATAATTTGTAAGAAAGAGTTCTATCAAAAATATTTATGTTATGAATGAATTGGATATTCTTAGAATACAAACCTTAGCTTGGCTGGAATTGACTGTCAGTCCAATGCTGTACAATAATCCAAGGCCCTAAAACAGAGACAAAAACAGTACAAGAATAAATTATTAAGAGAAAAGAAAAAAACAAACAAAGAGAGTCAGAGGCAGGGGATAGAAAATAAAAGGAAAGATAAAAAGATAAAAATTGTTAGAGATGACAGATTTTTTTTTTTTTATAAGTACCTTCTAACTTAACACATGACCAATATACATCTGATGAAGGCAGATGTATATCAATCTGGGCAATATACCCAGATTGATATACATCTGATGAAGGCAGGAGTGCACAATGGCTAAAATGTTGTAATAACAACAACCAAGATGAGGCCAATAGTTCAAATATAAATAGTGCAAATAATAACATATCCTGAGTTTCAAAGAATAATGACATACCAGATGGAAAAACAGTCACAAGTATCCTATGTTCTAGACAACAATCTCTTCTCTATACCATATTCCTTCAAGATCATGACTCTCCACTTACTATCCTTTGTAGCTCTCAGTATAATTTGTACTTTTGCCATATATCTCCTAATCCTAGTTCTGCCAACCATTTACCCAAGCTAGTAAGGTAGGTTATGTGCTGCTTTCCTCTGTGCCTCTTACCTTCAATATGTCCTGTGAGTGTCAAATTTTTTAAGCCTTCTTTCCCCATTATGTACTCTAGAGATTTCAACTGTCTCTTTTTGATGCTATCCTTTTGTTTCCATTTTCTCTAAAATATCATCATTGCTCACATGTTTAGTCCATGTTATTCTCAGCATCCTTCTTTAGAACTATATTTCTGTTATCTCTTCTATACCTGTGAGATGGTCCAGCATTCACTACCATATAGGAGTACCAATGTTACATAACAGTTCGGTGTTCTTTGTTTCCAATGAAATTTTCCTGTTAATACTTAACTTTTGAAAGGCATCTTTCACTATCCCAATGTACATTCAGATTTTGGTGTCACATTTTTCATCCTCTGTTTACCAAAATAAGAATGACACTTAAACAAAATAAAATAAAATAAACACACATACATGCACAATAAATATATATATAAAAAATGTATTACCAATTGACCTCTGGGTGATCCCCGATTGGAAAGGTCATCAAATATCTCTTTGGCTTTAGTAATGTTATGGCTACAGTGGTCACCAAAGAAATGACAAAATCCTATGTGCTCCAAGGCTTTGGTGTGGTTCAACTGTGCAGCTATTTCGAAAAACCCATAAGCACTGAAAAAAAAAAAAAAAAAAAAAAAAAAAAATATATATATATATATATATATATATATATATATATATTCAAGGTTATAAAACATTCATTCTGTTGTGTACGATACACCTAATTTACATAAGTGGAGTACCGACCATATAAATATGGGTTGGTACCGGAAGACGGAAAAGAGATAGTAAGAAGAGATCCAATCCAGAGACTCTGCCCGACTGCGATTTAGTCAACCCATTATGCAGGAACAGTCTTCCCAAGAATATACCAAAACTAACAGTAAATATTGTGTACCCTTTCCTTGTTTCAATACATTTTGTTTACGTACATTTTGTGTTGTATTATTATTATTATTCCATGCTTATCCAAGTTTCAACACATTCAAAAGCTGAAAATTTTGTAAATTTAATTATTTGATCTTAGTGGTCAGTCAAGGCCAGTGAGATGTGAAATGTAAGGAATGGAATGAAAAAAGAAATGTTAAAAGAAGCTCATGTGACACACTGTGATCTTGTTTATACAAGAGTACAAAGACACTAAGACAATTATACAAACAATTTTTTCCCCAAATACATCAACACTCATACACACAAAGAAAAAAATATAAAAAAAAAACTTACAAGTGTATAAAAAAAGAAAAATATATAAGCAGTCAATTGTTTATACCCACTGAAGAGTGGATGAACAGGTCTGCCTACAAAACTATGGAGTCAAGGATACTGAAGGTAACATCAGCTAAGTGACAAACAATATATATATATATATATATATATATATATATATATATATATATGTGTGTGTGTGTGTGTATGTATGTATGTATGTCTTCCTCCTGGAGAAAAAAGAAAAAAACATCTGAATGAAACTGGCTAGATTAAAAATATTTTTTTTTTTAATTTAAAATTCCCTTCAACCCCTCATTTGTGCATGCAACTTTTAGTCCAATGAAGTCCTAAAAAGGATGAAATGTGTCAATAAAAAAATCATACATTTTTTTATATATATATATATATATATATATATATATATATATATATGTATGTGTGTGTGTGTGTGTGTGTGTGTGTGCATGCACACAATAATATATATATATATATATATATATATATATATATATATATACACACATACATACATAAATACACACTCACATACATTCAGAAACAAATACACATACATACATACATAAATAAATAAATACACACACACACACACTAAAATATTAATTACTGTTTTTCCAAGGTCCATCCTGAGCCAGGGTAGTGGCAACTGTTAGGGGCCCAGCTATGGATAAACAGTGAATTACCAAACAAAAATCAAAACACTTGGAAATTATAAAAATAGATTTTTATAGTAAAAATAACAGCCCCATTATGAAAAAAATGCCAATACATTTTTGCAATGAAATTACCAGCAATACTTTTTTATATCAAAACTGAAGACATAACATACATGCCCAAAAAAACAATTTGCGCAATGATTAGTAAGTTGTCACTCCATATTTTAATTTTGGAAGATTATTTGTGTAAAAAAAAAAAAAAAAAAAAAAAAAAAAAATAAGTAACTATAATTTGATCATGAAATAATGTCACTCTCTTGGATTAATTATAAAGTTTGAATTTTCATATTTGGATTTTGGCATTAAATAACACATAGAGGTGCTGATATGCCAGTAAACAAAAACAACCAAACACACATTAAAAGCATATCACTAAGTCTACAGTTCAATTTAGATCTGAAATTTCCACATAATATTTATGCGATTAATGGAGAAATGTTGGGCTAAGGGCATTGACTAGGAACAAAGGAGATTATGTTAAAAAGAAAAATATTTGTCATGAAATATTGCTTTTTCTACCCGACCCATCATGAGGCAATATATTAACTCACATGATGAGTTTGAACAAATTGCACAAACTAAATGTAATACAAACTTTTCATGGTCACTTTCTATATTTATGTGGGGCTAAGAGTAGAGTTCTTAAATTAGAACTAGAGTGCATGTGGACATAGAAATTAACACACACTATATATTTTTTCCAGTGTGTAGTGAGCTCGCAATCAGTCTGACAGCAGGACAGTAAAAAAAAAAACTGTAACGATCAAATCACAGGTTGTCCTTTGACAGTGCATAGCAGTTGGAAACCCCATCTTCCAAGTTTACAGGAAGTTGGATGTGGTCAATGGCAGAATTAAATAGATTTGGCATTGAACTGCAATAATGTCATGTAAAAGAACCGTCATACTGGACAAAAGATGAAGCCTGATTATACTAAGAGAGATGCATTTTCTAGTATATGCACAACCTGTAATTTTTTTCTATTTTTTTTTTTATACAGTGATGTTCATCCTGTATAAAGCCCAGGAGGCACTCAAGATAGAGGGTTACAGAGTAAGAGATACAGTTTATTCAGATATGTGGGGAAGATAACGATTAATACTAGACTTTAACAGGTTAAGATTGTAGTTATTGGGAAAACAACCTCGTTCCACAGAGCAGTAGTTCACAGGAAGAAGCTAGTCAAGTGGAACTTACATCTCACAAATGGAATATGAAAGGAATGAAGGTAGTTTGTTGCACATTGCATAACGTGACGAGTTTTAGCCATGAAGGTTAAAACTGAAGAATGTAATTCGTCTGAACACTTTCCATAGAAATAGTGAGAGAGCAGTGAGAGGATTGCCATATTTCAACTGTGAGAATGGTGCTGTAGGGTGGAAAATAATTTGTCACCCACAAGTACATGCAGAGAAACTTTTGGACTCTACCAAGACTAGAAAGTGAAGATTGGATACCTCCTGCCTCTATATGGCAGCAATACTCCATTTTAGGTATGATCTGGCTCTTGTACAGGTAAAGGATAGAACAAGGAAGTTAATTCAGCAAAGGAGACAATTTCAAAATTTATTCCAACAAAATCCAATACTTACACTTTGTTATTTTTGTGGTATGTGTTGTTTATCAGTGCTTCTCCTTGCTCATAAAGTTCATTTGCTGAAAATGAAAATAACATTGATTCAAATATTACTGGCTTCTATCAAAGTTGGCTATAGATATAGCAGCCATTTTGATGCTGACATATTGACAAGTAAGTCACTAACACTGTTGTCACACTAAACTAAAGGTTTATTATGATGATATATGTATATCGACGAATATATAATGTTAGCTTGTGGTTATTACCTTCTACTCAACTGAAGGGTGACTAGAAGCAGTGATATAACTACAGTACTAATTTCAAATGATAGACCTAAGAAGGAACATATAGAAAAAAGTTCTCTCCCTTTTCTCTAGATCTTTGTAAATGAGTCTATCAGAATTATTCATCTCGACAAGTATCCATTTTGTCCGATAAAATTACTGCATTTTCTGAGCTATTTTTAATCATATTAAAAAATCCTGAGGATTGGAGTGTTTTAAAATTATTACTGGCAGGGGAATTTGTTGCAATTCTAGAAGATTTTCAGTTTAAATTTTTATTTGTGGTTTTTGAATCCATATTGAAAAGCTGTTATTCTTTTTTTTTAAATTTCAAATAAATTCATGATATTTCAAGGTGTATCGGTGAGGTTGAGAACTTCAAGAAACAATTGGCTGATATCAGGAACAAGTTTGAGGAGTTTTATTACTGGGTTCTAAATGTTGTCACTGAAACATCAAAGAAATGTAAAAAACATTGAGAACCAGAAAAATTAAAAATTATCCATTAACTTTGTTTAATAGCATTTTGGATGACGTTATTGTTCACATTAAGCAAAGATTTAGAACAATGAGAGAATTCAGATTTGTTGAATTGCTGAAACATTTCATGCTCACAAAAAAAAAAAAAATATCTAAAATTTATTTCTTCTTTTTTATCTATAAAAATCATTTAACATCTATCAAGACATTGGATGGATAAAAATGTGACTCCACTGCTCCACTCTCCAATTTGTCAATTGGCCAGCATGTCCTGGTTACCAAGTCACCCTACACCACCGATCAATAAAGACAACAGAAAAGAAATATGATAAAAATTAGATAAATAAATTTAAAAAAGAAAAACGTTACCTTTCTGCTCTTGTGGAGAAAGCTTTACTTCTTCAGTATCAGTCTTTTCTTCAGTCGCAATGGCATCAGGTTTATGCATTGTATCAGAGTTGACTGGCAGCTCAGAAGGGCTATCTATTTCTGGCTCATTAATCTGGTCAGAGTTAGAGTCAAGATCTGAATGAAAATTAATTTAAAACTTTAAAAAGAAAACTATTTACACTTTAAATGTAATGGATGTGGATGTATAATAATTATAATGTTTTCTTTTTCTGATGTATAATAATTATAATGTTTTCTTTTTAACATGCGAAGGTTAAAGATGAAATAATAATACTGAAAAATAGGTTCGAGTCACATGCAGAGAACAAAATGAATACAAAGTGCAAATTTTAAAAAAGGAACATTACATAACATTATTTTCTACTTAAAAGTTAAAGCTACAAATGTGTTAATGTCCTTTGGTACTTGAATGTGTTAGAAATTTATTTGATACAGAAGTTGGAATTCTCAACCTGTCTGATATCTTTTCCATATGTTTTACAAATAAATAGATCTAATAAACATAGCTAATATCACTTTATTTCAAAGTCTCATCAAACAGTTCTAGATCTATCTAGATGTCAGTTATCAGTTATCTCCTGTTAATTCCCCTCTCCAAGTTCTCCACTTATCCAGGTATTGAACTCACATTCTTTGGGTCCTGAAACTGAATCTAACCAATGCCTTTATCCACTGTGCCATGTGTCCTTGAGGACATCTGTGTATAAATTTCTGGCTATTATAAACCTAATGTCTTCAGCAATCATTTTTTACTAGTGCTCATATTGCAATTTTTTGCTGTTATCATTGCATGTTTTTACCAGAGCTCATATTGCAATTTTTACTGTTATCACATTTCTCTGGCACTCCTTATTACTGGTTCCCATATTGTATTTCATTTCTATGCTTGGTCGGCTCAGGAGATTTTTGTGGCCTAGCATATATGCTGATTCCTTAAGTTTACAAATTTTCCAAAGGTGTTCTTTGTCTATGATCTCAACCTGATCCCACAGAGGGTGGTGATCTCCCTTTTCTCTCCATATGTGGTCAGACACACCTGATTTTTCCACTTCCCCTTTACAGCTTTTCTGGTGTTCTTGAAGCCTTACCTTAAGGGGGGGCCTGTCTCCCCTTTATATTTCTTACCGCAGCTGCACGGGATAGCATACACACAGTGTCTTTAGTCATGCTCTCCTGGGGGGGGGTCTTACACGGGAGAGATATCTGTGAAGTGTCGTCCAGCTTTTGAAGGTTGTACTGATGTTATACGGACCGTAGATAACCCCTTCACATAAGACAGACAGACTGTTTTCTGAGTGTTGTTGTCCTCCTCTTGTACCCATCTATCCCAGTTTATTGGGGCTGCTGCCATGTACCCAGAGTAGTTGTTATGTTGTAGAGTACTACTTATACTGGTCAATTCTTTATCTAATATCTCTGGGTCGACACTTATGACTTTTGCTCGGTGTTGTAAGCAGCAGACAATCTTTCTTTTTGTATGGATGATGGGAGTTGAAATTGAGGTACTGTCCGGCGAATGTCGGTTTATAGTATACAGATGTCTTGAACCCATGCTCTGTTCAAGATATTAGAACATCCAGGAATGGGATTGTATTGTTACTCTCTTTCTCCATCATGAACTGTATCGATGGTCTTATTGAGTTCACATGGTCTAGTAGAAACTGATACTGGATGTAACTCCACCCTACCCCCCACAGTCAAATAGAATTGCAGAAAGTATGGCCAGACTGTGAAAACGGGACTAAAAGCATTTTTCCCATCTAGTGAGAATTACTTACCAGGATTACTGTTAAGCTATAGGACAATTCCACATGCCAGCTGACTACAAAGTCCCTCCATATTAATGGATAGCTTTCATAACAATGTCATTTTCAACAAGTGTATGGTATAAAAAAGACAAAGGATCTAATCAAGAGAAGGCGAACTTTGTAGTACAGAAAAGGACACAACACAGCAATACTAATGAAAAATGGGCAAAATGTACTGGCCCATGTGGATCACTCCAGAAGCAGAATAGAAACCAAGGATATAGAAATGAATGAAGAATCTGAAGGTGAAGAACATGAAGGGGTGGGGGGAAGGGGACTAAGGAATCCAGTAGTAAAACTGAACAATTTATGAATGATAATGGCCAGAAATCTGATGAGGTATTGGAAAAAGAAAATGAACTCAGACCTTAGGTCACCTTTTAGAAGAAATCAAAATACACACTAAGAAAGTTAATTCCCAAGAATAATTAGAAGTAGTCAAAGATCAACGAAGGGCATAAGGCTATTTCTTTTCAGGGAGATGTAGTATTGTATGTAAATGAGATATTGCTATAAAAGCAGAACGATACAACGAGTGCCAGTTGAGCTACCAGATGTTGACCTGACAATGTCTATTCCAGAGATTACTTCATAATATTTCCCAATTTTGTCCGTGTTTTACAGAATTTTGGTAAACACATTAATCATGTCATCCAAATTTCCTCGGGTATAAGAGGCGGAATAAGGAAAATTCAGTTGTACTGAATTTACTAAATCTTACTCAGTTTATCTTGAGTTGAGGTTCTGGTTAAGACAGAGCTATTTCTGGGATGAATATGTTATACTTTTGCACCCTGTATTTTTAGACCAAGCATTTTTTTTCTATCAGGTTCCAATCTGATTAACCAGTTTGTTATATTTTTTCCACTTTTTATTTTTATTTCTTCACCTAATATTCAAGACTCTCTCAAAAACGTCAAGTTACTAAACGATGTTTCACTGCCCTTTTATAATCACATGTTCAGTTCATGATATTCTCAGCATCTTTCTGTAGAACCACACTTCTGGTGCTTCAAGTCTCTTCATCATCTGTGAGGAGATTGTCCAGCATTCACTGACATATAGAAGGACTGATATTATGAAACAGTCCAGTACTCAAAAGTGGTATCATTGGCTGCTTTAGAGCCAAATTTAAATGCATTCAATAAACAGTCTCCCATAATCAACTGCCAAGTCATCATGTTAATTTCCCTTGTTACCACTGTAAGTATATTCTTTTCATGGTTGATTTCACATTGCAGAGAATATCTAAACTGTTGCTATTCAAAATTTTGGCAATGTTTAATCCCCATGCCTGCAAAAAACAAAAAAACAAAAACAGTGTGTCAAAAGGACAGTTATTCCCTTGACACTGATATTAATGTATATGCTTTTGACTCCCTCAGCATTAAAATTCATGAAGGTTAAACAATTAAGTTTTTCTTTTTTGTAAAAAAAGAAAATTCAACATAGACCTCTTCAAACTTCATCTCAGCTGACCCACAGAATGCTAAGCAAAGAAAAGAAAAATAAACAACAAAAGAAAGCCCTACCATAGTTATCAAAGACATTATCCTGCAGGTCACCATTGTCAAATTTTTCTTCTGGCTCAGCATCTTGCATTGATCCTAAATCGGCTAAGGTGCTCTTGGGAAGTTTCTCATCTAATAAATACTCATCCTCAGGACTCACATCTGATCTGTCACTTATACTGGCCGGTTGCTCTTCTTTGTAAAATGCACTATCATCACCCGTTTCCTTTGTTACGGAATGACTGTCACCTAAAAAAAATAACAAAGTTTACATCCTTGACAAAAAAGGTAAAATCAATTATTTTTGTTTTGCTCATTAGCAACAAGCAATTTTAAAAGATTTTGGTAATGTTTAACTTTCATGTTTGCAAAAAAGCAGTGTGTCAAAAAGATGGTTATTCCTTTGACACAGCTATTACAGTTTTTTGACTTCATCGGCAATGTCGTTATTTACAAGATTATAAAAATATGGAAACCAAGTACAATGTGATATTTATTATTTACCTTTTATAAAGATTTACATTTTATAAAGAAACGAATTTGAAAAGAAATCTTTTAATTCAAAAACTTATGAAAAATTACAAAATTATCAAAATATGTACACCAATGACAATTAAATACAAAGAAAAATTTGTCCATCCAATAAAATAGGGAGATACCCACTCAAAATATTGAATGTTTGCAGTCTCACCTAATATTAAAAGTATATTTGGTTCAGAGGAAGAGATGCTATCAACCTATTTTAGTGAATTTATTATGACAAAAGCAAATGAAAGAAATACCCAAAAAATGCATTTTTCAAAATTTGTAATTAGTTACTCATCGTTATGTGTTTATCTAAATTTTCTTGTTTAGACATTTTTACAAATTATGAATAAAAAACATTTTTTTTCATATTTATTTCTTTGTAAAATGAGAGATAATAAATATTTTATTATAGTTGGTTCACATATTTTTATAATCTTGTAAATCTAAAATTATTCTTGTAAATAAACAATCTAATAAATAAATAGTATTTAATATCTGTTGTAAATTCTCAGTGAATAAAGAAAATGTATAAACCCACTTCCATATGTTTGGGTTTTATTAAAAATTCTATTGATTGCCTTTTAAACCAATACACACATTGCCAAGATTTTTCATTTTTTAACATTCCAATATTAAATGCTTTCATTATTATATTTAATTCTTTTATATTTATTTTATTGCTTTTCATAACTATATTTGGCTGTGAAATTATAGAGTTTAAGACTGAGGGCAAAGTTTAACCTATGCACCTGCAAAAAAAGGACAGTTTTTCTCAACACAACTATTACTGTATACTCCCTCAGAATTTATTATTATTTTAAAAAGCTATTTTTAGAATTTTGATAAAACTGGATTTTTTATTGTCTTTTTTTTTTCTCGGGAATTAACAACATTAATACTTAATGTTGTGAATAAAGACAAGTATTAAACACTATTCATTTAAATAATCAATCTAACAAATAAATAGTCTTTAATGTTTTTATTTTCATTCTCAAGAAAAAAGTATAGATCCAGATGCTTCCACACTATTAATGAACTTATGTGATGAGAGCAAATGAAAGAAATACCTGGAAAATGCATCTTTTTTTTCAAATTTTATAATTAGTTACTCATATTTAAATGTTTATTTAAATTTTCTTGTTTTCTTGTTCACATGCATTTTTATAAATTTATGAATAAAAACATTTTTTGTAGTTATTTCTTTTAAATAATAAATATTGCATTATCATTGGTTCACATATTTTTTTATAAACTTGTAAATATAAAATTATTCTTGTAAATAAATAACCTAATAAAATAGTGTTTAAATACTTTTGTGACCAATTTGTGAGAAAAATTGTCCTTTGATACACTTTTCTTTCTCATTTTTTCCCCACAGGTATGACCTTTGCCAAATTGAGATTCAAACTCATTTCACAATTTAGATTAGTGATTCCCCACCCATTCATGTACTAAAGCACAACCCTAACTCCCCCCTCCCCAAACGTATAGTCAACCTTTGATTGGATTTTCTTGGTGCTAGTCACGAATGTCAAATGAGTATCTTAGTATTTCCCATAATAATTGTTAAAATAAATGAGATAGACTGTAAAGGGAAGGCAAGACACACTTCGGACACAATTGGTGTGTGGTGTATGTTAGGGTTCAGATGTGTCACTGCCACCCTCTGGCTGCCCAGTTTTTTTGCAACACACCCACTCACTGAGGGCATTACTGCCCACTTTGGGAATCACTGCTTTAGATGAAGCATGACAACATCAGTTTACCATTTATAACAAGAATAGGACAAAGGGAGAATTCTCATTCTGTGATATAATTAATCAGAGAGTTGGCTTAAGGAAAACAATACCAGTACTACTATTAGTATTAGGTAGTTAACAATAAAGTACTAAATCAGAAAAGACAGTGGCAGAAAGACTAGATAAGATTTTTATATAATTATGACAAATTGGTTAAAGAAATTTTTTCTACAGCTTAATCAACTGAAGGTTACTTAAAGCCAGAAAATATTTTTAGATTGTAATTTTTTATTTTTGGAGATGTTTTTAGCAATATAAAAGTCTTACTAATTAACCCATAGCTAAGCGTAGAATAGGTAAATTCATACCTAAATCAGAATCTGATAAACAAGGAATTTTAATGTGGATATGAAGTGGAGGATCAATTCTATATTACAACGAATATATAAACTGATCCTTCACTTTGTGGCCACGGTAGTTTCTATATATTTATATTCCAGGGAATGTAAATAAATCTAAAAGACATACTTATGTAGTTAATCAGTATTTGATTGATTTCGTTTTCCACAGCTTATCAACCTTTTCCAGGTTATTTAAAACCAGAAAATATTTCAGATTGTAAAAATTTTTTCTTGAGATAATAATGGTTTAGTGATACAAGTCTTAGTAATTAACCCATAGCTGGGGGGAAAGCAGTGGATTCATACATTTTCCAAGGGTATTTGAATGTACAATGTCTGCATTGGTTCACTGCATTGCTGTAGACAATTTCTCATAGCAGAATCTTTTTTACAACAAAAAGTCCATGCAAGAATATTGCTGCCACATCTGATCTTGTGCTTCTATGTATCTAGAGATTCTTGACAAAATCCAAAGAAGAATTTGCAATATTATCAGTTCTGACCTGGCATCTCAGCTTCAGTCAATTTCCTGCTACTGTAACATAGCTTCCTTAGCCTTTTCTATAAATATTTTCATGGTAGCTATTCTGATGTGCTTTCCTATTTGGTATCTTGACTTCATGAATTTAAGTGCAGTACAAGATTAGTTGAAATGACTAGATGGAACCGTAAGTTCTATGCTAACAGTTTCTTCTATCGCACTTCTTGCTTGTGGAACTCTCTTCCCACTTCTTGCTTCCCAGTCAATTTTGAACTTCAACAATTTAAATGCAATGCTAATCATTATCTTGTCTTTTTAATTCCTGTTATTTTATTGTTCTCTCTCCTTAATAGTGTCTTTCTTTTTTTCATATTCTTTCACACTCAGTAACCCCTTGCATTATTGGCTTACTGGAGGTGAAAGAATTTAAAAAAAAAAAAAAAAAAAAAAAATGCTTAGGTAGACTACATACAATATGGCAAGCCTCAAATGCTGAGGTAGACTGCATTACAATTGCACCATATCAAGAATATTTTAGAATCTTCAAAAATTTAAATGCAATGTCAATCATCATATTCCATTCCCTAAATACCTGTTCCTTTAATGGTCTTCTCCTTAATAATTTTTCCTACATTCTTTAACTTTTAGTAATCCCTTTTAGTAAGGCTTTATTGCTTTGCTTGGGGTGAAATGATTAGGAAAATCAAAAAGGAAAAAGAAAAACAGTCCTTACCAACAGTATCCCCATCAGAGGAGCCTTGAGGATTAGATGGGTTCTGCTTTGTTGTTTGGTCGGACAAGTCATCCTGGACTGGTGGGCCCAGAGGGACATCAGCACTGATAAGAGTCAAGTAAATTATTCCTAGTAGACACTTAAGAAACAAGCTTGAAAGTTTCATGATGCCAACAGCTTTAAATTGCACTGAAAAATAAAAAAAAAAATAATAATTAATACCCAACTTAGATACTGGACAATACATGTTCAGATCAAATAAATTTCAATTTTTCTCAAGAAATAACATTTTAGAAATAAATATAAAATATTTCCATGAAATTCAGTCAAACTAATATTTTTTTTTTAAAATGTTTACCATGTACAAGAGCCACTGAAGGTAAAGAGTTAGAGTAAGTGATACGGTTTAAGAAAGATAATAGTTAACCTTAGAATTGAAAGTTTAAATTTATAGTGATAGGGAAAGAATTTTCTTGGGAGTCGGTTCTACAATGTAGCAGTTGATCTCACCAGTGGAATAGAAAGACAATGAGGGTGGTAATTTTATATTAGGAAATGTGTTTGTTATAGTAAGAAAAATTGTTACAGGAAGAGACTGAAGTGAAGGTGGGGGGGGGGGGTATTAAAAACTTGCTTAAGAACTGAAAAAATTAAAAACCTATGGAATATAAGTTGTGACTAATCGAAGATCATCAGAAAACTGGGAACAGCCTCAAAAAAAAACTTTGCAAGAGGACTGAAGGAATTAGAGACACAAGAAAGAATTGAAATGATAAGGATAAAACCAATGTTCAACTTGAAGAAAATAAAGAGTTTGTTAAAGGTTTGAGAATTGCTGGCACTCCATTCCCAGCATTGACTTTCAGACTTTCCCCAAGACTTTCCTGTTTAATTTTACTTTGTAGTTTTCTTGTGTGTGTGTGATAGAATTTTTTGTGGGACGATTTGGATAATTCCTCATAATTCATTGAGTTGAGAACAAAAATCCTCAACAGAATGCAGAAAGCACTAGACTGCATTATATTGAATCTAGTTAGTTTCTCCTTGATCACCAAAGCCCACTGGTCTAGTTGTATGATGCTTGTGTTGTATTGTAACAGTCCGGGTCAATTCTCAGTAGTGGATATGCACTGCTGATGAGACCCAAAAAGGGTGAAACGGCTGTCCAGTACTTATATATATATATATATATTATATATATACACACACATACATATGTGTGTGCGTATATATATATATATATATATATATATATATATATATATATATATATAAAATAAAATAATGAGAAAATCTTTGTGTATAAAATTATGAATTAAGCAGCCAAATAAAAATGCTAAAAACTTTTTGTCATTGAAAACCCAAACAACAATTGAAAAATGGATGTTTTGTTTTGTGAGCACACACCCCTACCCCACCTTAGCTTAAACTGATTTTGAAAGTAACTTATATTTGATACATAAATTGTCTAGGACAATTAAAGCCTAACCACCCTTTATCAAAATGATTGAATTTTTCCCAAAGTTTAACAACTTAAAATATTAAGATAAGGACCATATGTTTGAAATAGAAAATAATTATAATATATATATATATATATATATATATATATATATATATATATATATATATATATATATATATATACACAAATGTGTCTGAAAATTTCAGTTTTGCTATTGAAATTTTCAGATGAACATTAATTTGTAAGTTACTGATTGAATAAACTTCTTGCATGTCCCCGACTATACCCATGGAAATTCTCCTATTGCATTGTTAAATATTTGAGCTTAGCAACTTTAACAAAATATTACAATAACAAATATGAATGCAGGACATTATTTATAGTAAGAGGATAAAAATGAAATGATTAAAAACTGACAAGGTTTTCAATTGTCTGAAGCAGATGTTAAACACATACACAGAATCCTATTGATTTCTTTATATGTAGATGCAAACATGTTGAAACAATCAAACTGTTTTATTAATAAAACAGTTTGATTGTTTAAATCATGAGATGATAATTGATTGACCAAAAAAAAAAAAAAATCTTCCAAGGTGCATCTGTTACCTGCCTAGATAGTTTCACCATTCACAATGTTGCAACATATGGTCAATGGATGAAAAGGTCAATCAAGAAGAAAAAAAGAAAAGAAAAAGAAGTCAACTTCCTGCCAACAGATTAAAAAGTTCTGATTCTTTTCACTGAAATTTATAGAGAGCAGAGTTTATCTCTAAATAACTTCTACCATTTCACTTTTCAATAGTGACATATTCATTTTTCAATATATGACAATTGCAAGAATATGTAAATAAAAAAAAACATCCCCTTAAATAAATTCATAACAAATTTCTATCAGTTGGTAATAAAATTGAAATTATATTCTCAAAATAGTTCATGTTGTATTGTAGCTACACATATTTTTTTTTTAAATCAATATCATCCCATACAAGGTAATAATGCCACTAAGATACAATGGGTTACAGAATGTGGAAGAATTGTGAACAGAAACATTAATAATGAGCGGGAAGAGTAAAGCGTAATCAAGGAAACAGTAGATAGCAATTGACATTGCATTTAAATTTTTGCAGATTAAAGTTGATTGGAAAGCATGGAGTTAGAAGGGACTTCCACAAGCGAGAAATGGAAATTTATATTGGAATCAAAATTGTGGACAAACTGTTCAAAATCCACAATTTTGATTCCAACATAGTTCTCATTAAAAAAAATGCAATAAAAAATTAAACAGAATGATCTGTCAATTAAATTTAACATTATGTGTGTGTGTGTGTGTGTGTGTATCACTTTAAATGTTATTTTTAGTGGATATCCATATTTGAGTAGATGCTCCATTTGTTTTAAACAGTATATTTATTTTCATCTACAAGTCTGAATATTTGAGAAAACTTAAAGAAAAAGATGTGCTCTCTGCAGCAGAAGCCATCATTGGATCCAACATGTCTTTAACCGATTCAGCCATGAATGGTTTTGCCAATCAGGCAAGGTCAAATATTGCCTTTAAGTACAATCCTTTTTATTCTTGACAGTTTCTTTTTTATTTTATTTTTTGACATCAATTACTAGATTGGCAGCTAGCTCTCATAATTTTACAGTTGAAATGGCTGCTAGATGTACCCATAAGTTCTATGCTAACAGTTTCTTCTCTTGCATTTATCAATTGTGAAACTCTTCTGGCCTTTCACTTTCCCCATCAGCTTTGATCTTCAAAAATTTAAATGCAATGTCAATCGTTATCTTCTATTTATTTAATTCCTGTTATTTTACTCTTCTTTCTCCTTAATGTTTTTTCTTTATCTCATATTCTTTCTTTGCATGGCATGAAATGATTAAGAATAATCTCAAACTTGTTGGAATCAAGAATTCAAAAATAGCTACTTCTAACCCAAACTAGATATTTGCCAAATTCTTGAAGCTTACAGCACTTGGTATTCTCAAGATGTCACTCACCTAGGTACTGACCAGGTTCAACATTGCTTAGCTTTGGTGACCGTACAAGGATCGATATTTTGATGCAATATGGCTGTAAGACTAGAAAACCAGAGCTATAATATTCAACAAATCAACAAAAGTTCAACTGATTGTCTGACTGACCAACTCAAAGAGTTTTCCATTGACACACTTGTCAGGGTCAAATGTGTTAAAATCATTATTAGATTTTATATTTATATTTGTCGGAACAAATGCTAAATTATAAATTTCAAATTGTTACCACATTAGAGTTTTGTTAAAAATGTAACAATATTTAAATTTAGACCCAGTTAATCATTTTTTTATCACCAACAAAACCAAGATTAAAATATACAAGTCAACTTTCTAAAGTGGATATGTTATCTGTAAAATCAAGTTACTTATAAAGTTTTGTAAGCTGGGTAGATAAAACAGAAACACATGGAAATTGAATGCTATAAAACCCTATCTAAATTATTGAAGTTATCTATAAGAATAGGTTTGTTTGTGACTATGTACAGAGTATATACACTTTTACTTTTTTTAAATCATTTCACCCCAAGCAAGGTGATAATGCCACTAGAACACAATGGCTTACAGGGAGTATAAGAAAATGAGAAAACTTTAGTGGGAATGATTGAAGAAAGGACAAAAAAAAAAAGGAACAGGGTTCAAGTGTGACACTGAGATATCTAGAGGTTGATCAAACAAAAAGAGAAAGAAAGAAGGAAGAGGAAAGAGTCTACTAACTGAATGGTAATTATTGAAATTCGCAGGAAAATGGATTAAAAAGTTAAGAAAATTAAAAACAAAATGTGTTGAAAAATCATGTTTTAAAATAATTCCAAGGAGAATCAAATCCAAATTTAAGTAGATAAAATTCAGTAATATTGAGCAAAACCAAGACTACCCACTTTCTGCCGATGAGAAAGAGACCAATTAAGGTATCCGTGAAGATGTCAGATAAAACAAAAACATATATTGTTGATAAAGAGACAAGGGTGGTCACCGAAGTACCTGAATGAAAAAGCCAGGAAAAGAAACATTTGATTTCATTCAGCCATCTAGAAGAGAATTGTCACCACAATATAATTTCTATGACATTCATCCAGAAAAATGTTTATATTCAAACATTAATTTGGATTCCTTTGGATACAAGTAATAAAGGAAAAATTAATTACTATTTTGGAGTAACCATAGACAAAAAGGCAGTGTGGTCTGTTGATTGTGAAAAAAAAAAAAAAACATATAAACAAAGGAAAGATGAACTTTTGTTTTTATCACTAGAGCAATGGGAATAATTTTTCTTTCCCAATTTTTGAGTGCTTTGGTCAATCGAAAAATCACAACATGATAAAGCTGATAAAGAAAGATCAGTGAGTGAAACTTCCTTTGTTTTTGCTACACCATCTGGAAGTTGGATTTGTCACACCAGCCGTAGGAGCAGGCTGAAGTTAGCTACTGAGAAAATGAGAGAAGGAAGAGAGATTAGCACCACCTATATGGAGCGATGGTGCGAGATGAGACAAGTTGACATAACAGAGTAAAACAGAAAGAGACAACGAAACAGAAGAGCTATATTTGGCATAAAAGATTCTCTCTTTTAGAAAAGACAAAAGAAAAAGAAAATTTGAATTTCTGCAATTAACTATTTTAATTATTAAATACTGATTTAATTGAAGGGAACTGTTAGATCACCATAGAAGCTAATTGCATGTAA